GCCGAACCCCCTGTGTTGGTCGCCGACGGCTCCGCATGCGCCGTGTCCACGATGGCCAGTGCCGGGGCATGCTCGGGCCGTTTTGCTGCCTCAAACTGGGCCAGGACGGATTCGAGGGCGGCATGCCTGTCGGCGCGGCCGCCGGTGGCTAGCGCTGCACTGACTCCCCTCTCCGCCGCCAGATCGACCACAGCTGCTCCTGGGGAGGATGCGGTCGCATTTACAGCCGTCGGCGTCGCGCTTGTGCCGGGTTCCGGCTGAGTGACTGGTGGAGCTGCCGCTTTGCGTGCGCCTATATGGGCGCGAAGAAACGCGGACTTGGGGTCCGCAGGCGGTGGGGCGGCGACCGGCCGCGCGGCAGATTGGGCATCGGACGGTTTGCCGGCAACGTGCGGTTTGACGGAGCGACGTGCTATTTCTGCGAGGCCGGCGTCGACCACATGATGCTGCTGCGCGCCCGGGCGGTGGGACTCCATGCGGTGGAGCAACACCCTAAGCGCGTTACTCCCGGGTGGCCCCTGTGCCGAAGCAGCCTTCGCGTCGACCTTGGCGGCAGTAGGGGCTGCTGGAGCTGGAGGGGCCGCACGGGCCTCCCCATGCTTCCCCGCACCTGTCTGGCCGGCGGGCCCGGTGGTTGCCGCAGGCGGGTTACATGGTGTCGACTTGGTGGTTCCGGCGACCGTACCAGAAGCAGCCTTCGACTTGGTGGTTCCGGCGACCGTAGCAGAAGCAGCCTTCGACTTGCCGGTTCCGGGGACTGAAGCAGAGGCAGCCTTCGCCGTGCCGGTTCCGGCGACCGTAGCAGACGCAGACATCGCCTTGCCCTTGGCCGGCACCGCGTCAGACGGCCCCTGGGTGGTTCCGGCGCCTCCGACTTTCGCCGCCTGGGCAGTGGGGGCCGCGTCCTTCCCACCGCTCGCCTGAGGATGGGTCTGCTCGGCGTCCAAAGGCGGGCCAGGCGGTGCATCGACGTTAGCCGCGATCCCGTCGGCAGGTCTCCCGTCCGCCCCCCCGCTTCCGCTTCCCTTGCTGGTCGACCCTCCCCTCACCTTCCACCCCTTCGCCTTCAGCATGTCGACCACGCTCCGCGCAGGAGGCTTCGTGACGCGGCTCCCGTCCGATCCCTTGCTCCGCTTCGAGCTCTCCTTGTCGTCACCGTCGCCCGACCTCTTCAGGCCTTGCTTGTCGGCCGCCCTCTGTTGCGCGGCGTCGGCGTCATTGGCCGAAGGCGACGAACCACGTCGACCAGGCGCCACCGTGCCGATCATCTCGGTCAACATCTTCATCCCGGACGCAACGAACGACTGCTCGGTGGCCTCCGTCACCGTCTTCATGATGTCGGCCTTGAACGACTTCAAGAGCTCTTCCGGGAGGGCGGGCGGCGTGGGCTGAGGCGGTGGCGGCGGCTGCACGGGGAGCCTGCCGGTCACAGCTGTGGCGATGTTGACAGCTGCGGCGGACAACTGGCTCGTGATGTGCTCCCGCAAATCCTCCTGCGCATCGCCCACCACCTTGTCGACGTGGTCGGCCAAGGTGGTGACCGCTAAGGCGCGTTGATACGCCACATTTCCCTCCGGGTTGTCGAAGTCCTCCAGCCACGCCGACGCCTGTTCCGCGAAGGTCTTCATCGTCTTCCACGCCTCGTCGAAGCTGCCGGTGATGTTGCCCGTGATGGTCTGCGACATGGCCTCCGCCGCGTTTCGCAGCTGTTCCGCCGCATACTTCTCGGTGTCGTCGACCTGCTCGGCCAACTCCTTCAGGTGGTCGACGAGTCCACGTAGCCCAACAAAAAACGCGTCCAGCCGAGCCCGTTCCGCATCGAGCAAACCCTGCAGCCGAGCGTTCTCCGCCCTCAACAGCAAGTTCTCCCGTCGCAGCTCCTCGACGTCGTCCGTTGCAGGGCCCTGCCGACCAGATGCGTCCCCCGTCTCCTGCACGCCCGCGATGTTCGCACCTTCGCCGGCGTCGACCGACACCTTCGCACCTTCGCATGCCGCCTCCTCCTGGCCCGTTTCCGTCGTTGCCTCCACGCCGACCTCATCCTTTTCCTTCCCCTCACCTGCCGACCCCGTAGCATTACCCGCATCGCCATCCTCCGCTTCCTCGTTCTTCTCGTCCGCCGACCCCACCGCCTCAATCATGCCGTCTGCGTACTCCAGCTCGTACTCCACCTCCTCCTCCACCCCTTCCTCGTGCGCCGCCTCGTCCTTCCCAGCCACCACCTCCACCACCTCATCGTTCTCGTCCTTGCCCTCGTCATCCTCCTCGTCCTCATTCTCCTTCTCCCCTTCGTCCTCCTCCTCCCCCTCCGACTCCGACTCTGAGCCAGAGTCCGTCAACTCCTCTTCCTTCCTGCCTGCGCCTGCCGCATCGTCGCCTAGTCCTCCACCGGTTCCTCCTTCCGCGGACACCGGCAAGTCCTCCTGGAGCTGGGCGGCAGCTGCTGCTTGGGGCGCCGTCTGACTTTCCGCGCCGTCGTCATCAATCGCACCCTCGGCGGGTCCGTCGGCGCCTGAAGTCGGCGCCGCTATCCGGTTTTCGGCGACACGATGGCAGATGTAATCGACCATGCTATCACGGAGCGACCTCAAACCCGCGACCTTGATGTTCTCGATGCTCACAGCGCTCCGAGCCTTGTCGCCCGTCAGCAGGCCGATCTGCTTGGCCACCCACCCGAACGACGTCGCGGCAAGCATGCCGGTGCCGACATGCCCGTCCGACACTGTGCCCGGCACTTTCTGCATACAGCACAGGCAAGCGCGGCACAATATGAGCGGTGCACACAGATACGCGCAGACCGTAGCGGAGCCTAAACGTGCAACTCACGTCGCGGATAGGGTCGTCGCAGTCTGCAAGCCTTTCCTCCACCACTGCTTGTGATGGAGGCGCCCCGTCCCACTTCCTACCGGGACGCCCCAGCTCGGCCAGGGCAGCCGTGCGGAATAGCCTGGAGCAACGTAGTGGAGAGGAGGTCAGCATGAGATTCCCTGTGTCGGCGACTAACAAACTCGACAGCGACGACTATTCACAACTTACTTCAGGACGCGGACGGCCTCGTCGCGGTGCTTCCCCTTTCCGGTGTGCGGGTCGATGTGCCGGATCGATGTCCTGCAGACCTGTCCCTCAGCCTTCAGCACATCTCCTGGGTAGAGGATGGCTATGACGCTGCAGTGTGACCCTGGAAGCGGGCCGCCGCTGCACACGCAATAAACGACGGCGTCGACCACAGCATAAGGCGTTGATGCGGCCGACACTGAAAAACGATGACTGGACAACGGGGTAACAGCTCACGTCGATTTCAGCGGGATAGCGGCGATGTCGGCGTCGAAAGCCTTAGCAAAGCAAGAATGGTCGGCGGCTTTCATGGCCGATCGAAGCGGGCCGATCCCGAGCACCCACAACCGCAGGTCGTCCCGCCCAATGTCAAACCAAGCGAACCTGAGCGCACGAGTGAGCACGAGGGATGAGAACATGGCTGGTAAGCAAACGCTGCCATGTCGACGTGCTTCGTCAAACGCGCCCGCCGACGTACGTCGGAAGACAATCGGCGACAGTGCGCCCTACTAGGGTTGGTCGGCACCGACATCTACCCTATTCGACTACCGCGACTACCCGCGTCCCACCTGATGGCGAGTCCAAAGCATCTCTCGGTGAACTCTTTCTTTTGGTCGCGAAGGACGGCGTAGTCGTTCCACTCTAAGGTGAAGCTGAGACCGCGACCCATTTGCACCCGAAGGGGAAAGTCGGCCGATGTCGGCGCCGACTTATCGGCGGCGGAGATCGGCTCCATATCTGTCGACTAAGAAAAGAGGCGGACGGCTCTGGTAGGAGAGAGGGGAGGCGCAGAGCTGTCAATGTTTGAAAATCCGAAAGAGATGCCGAAAATGCGGAGCGAGGCCACCTTCCACAGAGAAAAGGAGGTGGTGCCCCCCCCCCCAGGCCCGTTCAGCATCGCCCAAGGGTGCAGGGCCTGGCTCGGCAGTGCTCGGAGGGCGGATGCGCAAGTGGCACAGGTGGTCCGTCTCCGCCTTGGTAGAGCGTCGACTTCGCGTCCATTGGCCCAGGTCGGCGAGGGGACGCACGAATCCTCCTGCGCGCGGAGCGACGCTACAATCGACACGTGTCGATTTCGTAGCGGTTCGCGACGATAGAATGCATGCGATGGGAGAGAATTTATTTCCGCCTCGACAAAAATTTCGCATGCGCCCGATGCGAAGCCACGGGCGAACACGTGGCGCCACCGCTGCGAATCGCGAAATTGTCGAGTGTCCCGAGGGGGGCCCGTATTTTCGCACGGCCCTCGCCTGCCCGTCCGGGCAGGCCGCGATGGGTTACTAGGACCTCGCGGGCAGGCAGCACGTGTGGGCTGCCTTCGCGCGAGGGTAACTTTCCCTCGCGCGAGGGGTCGCCAGTTCGCCGACCCCACCCGGTAACGTGGGTCGCTGTTCAATTTCGGAGGGCGGCGGTCGTGCGCTCGGCCCAGCCCTGGGCCAGGCTGGCGGGCCCGCACGCGCGTCAGTCGCCCGCCTCGTCAGGCCCTCCTCCGACGACCCCTCCCGTCGACACTGGCAAAACGGGTCCGACGACCGAGTTCCGATGAGGCTTTCGGGAGAAAACGGCACTCGTCTCTAAGCATGGCGATGCGACGTGCTAGAACAAGAGCAGCAGTTTCGAGCAGCAGTTTCGAGCAGCAGTATCCAAGGTTGACCATATGTGCGCCCATGGCGGCTTGTCGTGTCTGGCTGGGCATTCACGAAAGGGGGGGACAAAGTTGACAAACGGTAGAAGACGGTTCAGTGCGATGGAGGAGCAAGTCAGAGGGCTGGCCCACTTTCGCAGCGTCAGAGCGAGTCCGTTACAGTGCTGTGATGTGTTTAAAAATGGTTGCTCTTTACAAGTTTCCAGATTCTTGTGTGCCTATCTCTAGAGTCTAGACCCATTATTCATGTTAGAGGAAGCAACACACAATTCTAATTCATATTACACCAGTATCACCACCTCTATGCCTCTCTAGCCTCCATGGTGCTAACCACCCCCAAAGCTGCTTTCATCTCTCCAAACTCCCCAGTGTCAGAAAAATGGTCCCCCTGCATACAATCAAGAAAAGAGAACGGTAATGAAACGGGGAAAACTCGATACTTACACATGCTTGGAAAAGTTTACTAGCATAAACAGGCAGTATTTCGTAACTCTTATCAACCTCTTCACGTGAACGAAGGCGGACGTAATCATTGCAATAGAACGTGATACCGCATTGTAACGAAGCCACGTTACTGTACGTTCCACGTTACCTGCTTCAGAATGTTGCTTAGAAGCATGCGAACCGATGCCAACCTCCTCTTGCCAGCACCACTCACTCTCACACCCTCCCCTTCTCTCTCCTCCACTCCTCCCCTCTTCAATTCCTCCACCCCCTCTTCCCCCACCACCCCTCGCACCACCGCCTCCGTCCACCTCAGCGCCGCCCGCGCCAGCTGGCGGAACGCGTCTGGCTCGCCGTGCTGCCAGCTGGCGGACTGCAGCGCGCGCACGTGGCGCAGGAAGGCCTCCGCTGCCACGTCAGCATCACCCACGGCTTCCAGGAAGGTTCCTTGCAGGCGGTAAATCTCCGGCACGCCTGCTCCTGATGCCACTGCCTGTGATGATGTGGCAGGGGGACGAGGGGATGTGGTGATTAAGACAAATTGTGTGTCACGTCTAAATATTCAGAGCCCCCACTCCTGATGCCACTGCCTGTTGGTGTGTGTTCGGGTGCGGTGGTGGGGGTTGAGGGGGGCTTGAGTGGCTATGGTGGATGAAAGATTTCAATGCTCAGGGGGGGAGCAGAAGGTAGAGGGGGCGGAAGGGGGAATGGGGTGTATCACTCAATGGGCCTCATCAGGTAATCAGAAGCTGAAAGGCATTGATCAAGATTGATGAGGCCCACTGAGGCAGCACTGAAGGAGGGCGTTTCCCAGGGCTGAAAAGGTGTGGCGTCTCTCAATGGATTCAACGGCTTTCCTGCTCAAGGAAGCTGTGCCTCACAGCTTCCAGGGGGAGGGGTTTCCTGCTCGAGGCAGACGCTGTGAGGCAGACGCTGTGAGGCAGACGCTGTGAGGCACAAGGAAGCACGCGTCTGGCTCCATCAGGAAACTCACCCCCCCGGAAGCTGCAGATTGTTTTTAAGAATTCTTAAAACCAATCGGGAGGGATCCAGGACGCACAGGCAGCACGCAAACAGAGACTGCAAGACGAAGAAACAGCATCTTACCTTTCCTAGGAGCTTCCTCAACTCTGTTTCAAGCCTGGCAGCTTCCCGATCGTTCATGGGGCCACCACTCCCTGTTTGCGTCCCACCATCTTCTTTATAAGCACCATTCGTTTCTGGCACAACATTCTCCTCTCCTCCACCCTCCCCTCCCACCATCTCATCTCCCCCTGCCATCTTGCCCAAATCCAACGGCTGTAAACTCATCATCAAATCATCCAGGTCACCACCACCATCTCCATCTCTCTCCTCCAACCCATCTCCACCACCCTCAACTCCCCCCTCAACCTCTCCCTTTCTCCCTGCCTCCCCGCCCTCCCCCTCCTCCTCTCCCCCCCCTCGCCTATTCCTCTCCACCACTGATATCAGCCCCTCTAGCACACCCGTGTCGACCCGCTTGCCCTGAGTCAGCTCCAGCACTCGTGATGCTGCTCTGACCGCCTGTGGGGGGACGCAGAGGGAGAGGAAGAGAAGAGAAAGGGGAATGGGGTGGGGCCAGAGGCAGGCGTGAGACAGGGATTAAAAGGACAGGGATTAAAAGGGCAGGAAGAGAGGAAGATAAAACACCCGTGTTGACCTGCTTGCCGTGAGTCAGCTCGAGCACTCATGATGCTGCTCTGACCGCCTGTGGGGGGACGCAGAGGGAGAGGAAGAGAAGAGAAAGGGGAATGGGGTGGGGCCAGAGGCAGGCGTGAGACAGGGATTAAAAGGACAGGGATTAAAAGGGCAGGAAGAGAGGAAGATAAAACACCCGTGTTGACCTGCTTGCCGTGAGTCAGCTCGAGCACTCATGATGCTGCTCTGACCGCCTGTGGGGGGACGCAGAGGGAGAGGAAGAGAAGAGAAAGGGGAATGGGGTGGGGCCAGAGGCAGGCGTGAGACAGGGATTAAAAGGACAGGGATTAAAAGGGCAGGAAGAGAGGAAGATAAAACACCCGTGTTGACCTGCTTGCCGTGAGTCAGCTCGAGCACTCATGATGCTGCTCTGACCGCCTGTGGGGGGACGCAGAGGGAGAGGAAGAGAAGAGAAAGGGGAATGGGGTGGGGCCAGAGGCAGGCGTGAGACAGGGATTAAAAGGACAGGGATTAAAAGGGCAGGAAGAGAGGAAGATAAAACACCCGTGTTGACCTGCTTGCCGTGAGTCAGCTCGAGCACTCATGATGCTGCTCTGACCGCCTGTGGGGGGACGCAGAGGGAGAGGAAGAGAAGAGAAAGGGGAATGGGGTGGGGCCAGAGGCAGGCGTGAGACAGGGATTAAAAGGACAGGGATTAAAAGGGCAGGAAGAGAGGAAGATAAAACACCCGTGTTGACCTGCTTGCCGTGAGTCAGCTCGAGCACTCGTGATGCTGCTCTGACCGCCTGTGGGGGGACGCAGAGGGAGAGGAAGAGAAGAGAAAGGGGAATGGGGTGGGGCCAGAGGCAGGCGTGAGACAGGGATTAAAAGGACAGGGATTAAAAGGGCAGGAAGAGAGGAAGATAAAACACCCGTGTTGACCTGCTTGCCGTGAGTCAGCTCGAGCACTCGTGATGCTGCTCTGACCGCCTTCAAGGGTGGAGGTAAGTAAGAAACAGGGAAGGACGCAGACGCTGCTAGCACTTCACCTGCCAGCACCGCATTAACTGGGCTGGCACCACACTAGACTTGCCAACACCATCACCAGCTTGCAATGCATTACACCTGTTGGCACCACATCTCACCTTTTGGCACCGCACCGCACCTGCTGGTAGCTCTTCACATCCAGAGCCACTTTTGCAAAGTTCTCCCACAGGTGCCAGTCCTCTCCCCTGTGGAGGGGAGGGGAGAGAAGCGAGAGAGGAGGGGGGAGAGGGGCGTGACAAAGAGGAGTGATGGGTAAGCAGGAATGGCGAATTACAGTAGATCTTCCACAGGTATAAAAAAAAACGGCCGGCAAGCCTGCCCTCTTGCTACACCTCACTCACTCCTCATATCCCATTGCACTCCCTCATACCACATCACACGCCCTCATATCGCATCATACTCACTTGTGCTTGAGTGCCTCCTGTAGAGTCTTGAACGCCTCTTGCATTCGGTTGCGCTGTAAGTTGCTGCCATGCCACGGGGGATCAGATGTGCGTGATCAAAGGAGAAGGGGGAGAGCTACAAGGCTTGAGAAATTATGACATGTATGCATGGACACAAACACCAATGATACCATACCACGACAAAGAATGGCCACCGCACCAGTGCAAGAAAGGCGTGCAAAGTAGGGTATCTGAGCAATCATAGCATGAGCAATCATAGCATGAGCAATCATAGCATGAGCAACCATAGCATGAGCAATCATAGCATGAGCAATCATAGCATGAGCAACCATAGCATGAGCAATCATAGCATGAGCAATCATAGCATGCGCAACCATAGCATGAGCTCAAGAACTCACAGCACAGCCAGGTTGTTCCACGCCTCCCCGTTGTCTGGGTCAATCTGCACTGAGCGCGTGAGTGCATACAGCGCTTTATCACTGTTGCACGCCTGTCGCACTCACACACCGCACCGCACTACACCGCATGACACAGTGCTCACAGCAGTGACTAGACACTCACAGCACAGCCAGGTTGTTCCACGCCTCCCCGTTGTCTGGGTCAATCTGCACTGAGCGCGTGAGAGCATACAGCGCCTTGTCCCCGTCACACGCCTGCAAACACATCGACGAGAGGCAGGGGGGTAATGATGGGTATGGCACACGGCGGGAGCATGAGTGGGCAGCACATTGACCTGCACCGAGTGTGTCTGCGAGTACAGGGCCTTGCCCCCATCACACGCCTGCAAACGCAAACACACGAATGGGAGGCAAGAGACACGTGGATACTAGCCATGGAACAAATGATTAAGTGTATGGTTCTTTTGGGACGTCTCAAAATTCGATAGCAGGCACAGCGTAGGGACGCGTCACGTAAATGTCTGACAGCCCGAGGAGTACCCAGATTGCCAGAAATGGCCATACCGCCTTCTCACTCTGCACCGCACTGTACCACACTGTACCACACTGTACCACACTGTACTGCACTGCACCGCACTGCACCTACCTGGATGGCAGAGTAACCGAGGGAAAACCAGGCAGACGCATGCAGTGGGCTGATGGTCAGAGCAGCCTCCCAGTGAGCCATGGCTGCTTTGAAATCCTTGCTGTTCATCGCCATGCGCGCTAGTGCTCGCTGTGTTAGGAGGGGTGAAGAGGGATGGAAAGGGATGGAGAGCAGTGAAGAGGAATGAAGTGGATTGAAGAGCAGCCTACCCACTCAGCCTCCCAGTGAGCAATGGCTGCTTTGAAGTCCTCTGCATTCATTGACATGCGCGCTAGCGATTCTGTGTTAAGAGGGGTGGAGAGGGATGGAGAGGATTGAAGAGCAGCCTTACTCTCTCAGCCACTCAGGGCTGCTTTGAATTAAAGTCCTTGGTATTCATTGCCATGCGCGCTAGCGCATCTGTATAAAGAAGGGTGGAGAGGGATGAAGAGGGGTGAAGAGGAAAGGAGGACTGGGGTGTGAGGGGAGGGGGTGTGAGGGGAGGGAGTGTAAGGAACAACACAAAGTCCCAGTGAGTAACAGCAGAGCTGTCGATACCCCGACGCACAGCACCGGAATGGATCACACACCACCGCAAAGAACCACATTAACACATGCACTACATGACAATTCATCGCACTGCGCCGCACTCCACAACTGAGGCACATGCATATCTCCCGAACCTTTTCATTGTCCTCCTCCCCCGTCATCCCTCAGGCCACCACACCATGACAATGCATCGCACTTCACCACATTGCACCACACAGCACCACATTCCGCCACTCTCCGCACCTGTGCGCGCGCGTATCTGTGCCGGGAGAACTCCCAGGCCTTCTCATAGCACTCTTTCTCCTCCGTCAAATCCCCCAGGCAGCACCACAGGCGCGGATCCTCCTGCTGCTCCTTCAACCTTGCCGTCACCAGCGCTGCTGCTGCTGCCCGCTTGCCCAGGAGGCTGGGATGGGAGGGGGGAGTAGACGCGGAGAGGAAGCAAGATGGGTCCCAGGCAGGCAGCACCACAGCCGCGGATCCTCCTTCTGCTCCTTCAACCTTGCCGTCACCAGCGCCGCTGCTGCTGCTCTCTTGCCCAGCAGGCTGAGTGTGGATTGGGTGGAGAGGGGAGGATGGGAATAAAAGAATCTCGTGTGTACCACCGTTGCTGTTGGTTGCTGTCGGCCGCACATCCTTCAGCCTCGCTGGGAAAAAAAATAGCAACAAGGGTTGTGAGTTGAGACCATCACAACAAGGGCAGTTGAGGCACAAGGCAATGTGACTGACAAGCTGTCTGTGTGTCATGTTGACTTTTGAGTCGACTCAAAAGCCAAGTCGGCAGCACATCCTTCAGCCTCGCGGGAAAAATAGTAACAAGGGTTGTGAGTTGAGTTGAGGCACAAGGTGAAGTGACTGGGTGACTTTTGAGTCGACAGTCACCTCGTAACAAAGGTTGTGAGTTGAGTTGAGTTGTGTTGAGTTGAGTTGAGTTGAGTTGAGTTGAGTTGAGGGACAAAGGCGATGTGACTGACAGCTGTCTGTGTGTCATGTGCACCCTTGCTCACAGTCCACCAGAAGCAGTCGATGAGATGGTCCCAGAGATCACACGCATCATTCGTCTCAAACACACGCGCATGGCCTCGTGAGCTTCGAGGCATCTCACTCAAGGCTCACGCAACCTGTTGATAGATATGAGCATCGAACCGAACTTAGGTTCGGTTCGAGAAGTTCGGTTCGAGATAACTCGAACCGAACTTTTCTTTCCATGAAAAAAGTTTGCGCAAACCTACCAAAAGTTCGCGCGAACCGTTCGCGCGAACTTTTGCGGTTCGAGATTCGAACTTCGAACCGAACAGGTTTGAAGTTCGAAACTGTCAAATTCGAACCATGAGAGGTTTGAGTTAGATTCCCGCCAGAAAGAACCCTTGCGGAGTTGTAGGGTTGGCTGCCATTTCAAGGCAGCCAACCCTAATCTCGTAAAATAGGTAGAGCAGATCTAGATCTGCTCTAAAAGACCACACCCATGCTTCCTCTCTACCAGTCTTTCACCGCAAGTCCCTCTTAAGATGTGTCAAACGGTTACTTGTCATGTTAGACAGACCAGTGCGCCTTATTTTTTTTACAGAGATTAAGGGGAGCATGCCATTTTTACATCTCGTTGTGCATCATTTTTATCCCCAAACCTAACAAGGTTCGAGTTCGCTCAAACCTTTCAAGGTTTGAGCAAACCTTTAGGGTTCGCTATTAAATACTCGAACCTCAAACCTCAAAATCCCCAAAAAAGTTCGAGCAAACAAGTTCGGTTCGGTTCGACCACCGTGCAAGGTTTGAAAAAGTTTGAGCAAACATGTTTGAGTTTGGTTCGTGCTCATATCTACCTGTTGACAGAGAATTGAGCAACGTCACATGGTAGCCGTGTGAATCGTTTTGAGACGTCTCAAAACAACTCTTTTATCACGCAGCCTGTTGACACAGAATTGAGCAACGTCACATGGTAGCCGTGTGAATCGTTTTGAGACGTCTCAAAACAACTCTTTTATCACGCAGCCTGTTGACAGAGAATTGAGCAACGTCACATGGTAGCCGTGTGAATCGTTTTGAGACGTCTCAAAACAACTCTTTTATCACGCAGCCTGTTGACAGAGAATTGAGCAATGTCACATGGTAGCCGTGTGAATCGTTTTGAGACGTCTCAAAACAACTCTTTTATCACGCAGCCTGTTGACAGAGAATTGAGCAACGTCACATGGTAGCCGTGTGAATCAAGTGCTCCCTTGCTTGCAGCCCACCTGTAGCAGTCGATCAGATGGTCCCACAGCTCATTCGTCTCAAACACACGCATGGCCTCGCCCACACACCCATTACCCACCAGCACCTCTCCATACTCCCTGCCGTGGTGTGTACGTGGGGGCGGGAGGGGGTAGGGTGGGGATGGGGAGGAGAAAGAAGGGGGAGGTGTTGGGGAGAGAGTTACTGTTTGGTTGATGCAACACCTGCCCACACACCCGTTACCCACCAGCACCTCTCCATACTCCCTGTGGTGATGGGCGAGTGGGGGGGTGGTGGAGTGGAGGGAGAGAGAGTGGGAGAGGGAGGGGTTGGGGAGAGAGCTGTGCCTAGTTGAAGCAGCATGTGCCCACAAACCCACTCGCCACCAGCAGCTCTCAATACACGCTGTGCGTGTGGGTGGGTGGTGGATGGATACAAAGAGGGGAAGGCGGAGGAGAGAACACAGTGATTCAGTCGGTGCAGCACCTCTGGACACAGCAGTTATTAGTGCCTGGCCTAGTGCCTGGCCTGGCGCCTGGCCTGGCAAGACTGACTAAGTACACCCTGCAAGGAGCCTATACACGGGGACATAAGGAGGTCAGGATGAGAGGAGGTTGGGGGGGTGACTTTTGAGTCGACTCAAAAGTCAGGACGCGGTAAAAGTGCTCGATCGGGGGGAGATCGATCCGGTCACCGCACTGAAACCTTGCGTTTTTTATACGAAAAGTACAAAACCATTTACAACCACGCTAAAAAACGATCCTGAGGCGATCGATTCTCCACTTTTACCGCGTCCTCAGGATGTGAGGAGGGGAGGTTGGGGGGGTTCGGGGTGTATAAACGTTGGAAGATTCGGGACGAGCTTAAGAGGCAAATACTGATCGGATCGGCACGATGTGAAAGTTAGTCCACTTGCACTGCACCATTGTAGAAAAGAGGAGAAGGCATATTGAATGGGCGGCTGTTTGTTTGAATGGAGGAGCCTTCAGGATCGCTTCTAGCAGGCTCACTTGAAGAGAGCAGGCATGGTGGGGAACCAAACAGCAAAGCAGTATTTCATCCTCACTGCTGCTTCTCTTGCTTCCTCCGCCACAGCTTCTCCTGATGGTCCCGAGGCTGCTTTTAAAGAGGATGACTGCGACTGCTGCTGCCGGCTTCTCTTCTCTTGATGTGAGATGGAATGGATCTGAAAGAGAATTGGAGCGCAGCACATTACAGGGAAACCAGACAGAACACAGAAAACCACTACTCATCTGCGTTACAAGGCGCGTACAGATAAAATGGAACCATGTTTTAAACTGCAGGCAACATAGCTGCATAAATCAGAATCCCGTATTTATAACATCGTTCCCACGTACCAACCGCTCCATCACCCCCTACTCACATAACGTGTGTCACCCCATCCACTCCAAGTTTCAGCTCACCGTTGTTCTTTATGCCGTGTGTACGGTCCGGACCCACCGATGCCATGTCTATAGCTGTAACATTTGTCTTGCCAGCCCATGATATTGATTCCCATGTCATGTCCCACTCACCAGTCTCTCCATCGTCGCAACAGCCCTCTGCCGCGTGTGCGGTCGCTTGCGTTCCCACCGCACCCTCAGCAGCTCACACCCCACCTTCACCTGTGATGGTTGGGCGTTAGAGAGGGGACACGCGGAGGGGACATGATAGGACATGTGGTGTGGAAGAAGCTTCTTGTGTGTTTCCACCTTTATTCAGGTCAGCAGCTCAACACCCCAGCTTCACCTGTGGAGGTGGGTAAGCAGAGAAGGCGAGGAGGGAGGGGAACGGAGGAGGAAAGGAGGGGGGAAGGGGCAGGAAAGGACGGGACAAAGGGGGGGGAAACGAGGGAGGTGGAAGGGAGGAGGGAGGGAGGAGGGAGGGAGGAGGGAGGGAGGAAAGGAGGTAAGAGGAAGCGCGGACACGGGTGAGTAAGCCTCGTGTGCTCCAACCCAACTGCACCCTCAAGAACTTGGCTCACAGATAGACCGCTATGACTGCGAAGCATAGAGGCTTCCAGTGAACAGCATCGAGCCAGAGGCATTCTAGAAGTGACAAGGAGAAACAACCAATGCCAGAGAAGAGAGCACGCACACGCACACACAGAATGCGGTTTTACAATCGTGCACTGGGGCAACGCAGCAGTAGCATACCACAGGCTGGATGCGCTGTGCTGTTGGAGAAGGTAGGCTTTAAAGAGGCTGCTTTCAAGGTGCTTAAGACACAAATGTTTTGATTTGATCACAATTGTGCATTGGGACGAGGCAGCAGCAGCATACCATGGGCGAGATGTGCTGCTGGAGAGGGTTGTGTGTTGAAGTCAGAGTTTTAAAACTTCCTAAGAAACAGACGTGCACTGTGGCAAGGCAGCAGCAGCAGCATACCATGGGCGGGATGTGCTGCTGGAGAGTGATGGCTTCGATATAAGGTGCTGCCTCCCAACCTGTAACACAATTTTCACACATTCACTTGTAATGAAGTAGCAGTAGCACAAAGCATGTCCACAATCAAACAGCAAACAGAGAAGCGACCACAAAAACAAACCAACAAACAAACAATTGCACAAACAGAGGAACGGTGAAGCGAGATGGATGTACAAACAGAGGAACAAGCCTAGGTGCGTTTCTTCACTTTTGAGGTTTCTCCTAAGTGACACAAGCACAGCTCAGGACTTGGTCACGGAAATGCCTGCATCGAGTTTGAAGGTGCTCCTTTTTCGGATTGCCAAGCCTGGCAGCACAGAAACAGTCAGTGTCAAGCCAGTTCCTGCAAAGACAGCGATGCTGATTGCATCTGGTTGAAATCTTGGGGTTCTCAAGGAAGTGTCAACAGTAGAATGAAGCAAGAAGAATCAGGAAAGGATTGGAAGCGCGAGATATGGAGCGATGAAGTAGCTTCAAGATCCATCACTCCACATCTCACACCTCCAAATATTTCCTGCTGCCTCTTGCCTTGTTTTGCTGTTGACGCTTCTTGAGAACCACGAGATCTCTATCAGACGTAATCAGCATCGCTGTCTTTACAGAAACTGGCTTGACACTAAAAGCTCCTGTGCTGCCAGGCTTGGCGATCTGAGAACAGAGCATTTCAAACTCGATGCAGGCATTCCCGTGACTAAGCCCTGGGCTGTTGTGCTTGTATCTCTCAGAAAAAAATCTCAAAAGTGAGACGAACTCTCCTAGACTTGCACCTACACAGGTCAGCACAGCTATCTGCACTGCTACCTGCACTGCTGCTCACCCTTCTGCCTTCACTCACACTCTCATACATGCACCTCTCAACTCGTCCGCTGCATTTTTCCTCACCGTGCCAACAACCAACGGCAGCAATGCCTTTTGAGGCGGTTCAAAAGCCCTCAGCGTCTCAGAAGTCATCCCACTCATCTCTCAGCTCATCTTCAGCATTTCGCTTCACCGTTTCAACACCCATAGCCAGCACCGCTGTCTGCTCAATACCCTTCACTCATGCTCCCTTTTGAGTCAACTCAAAAGCGTGAGTCGACTCAGAAGCAACACACATCGCCAGCACCGCTGCCTGCTCAACACCCTTCGAAAATCCCCCCTTCCCTCCCACCTCCACCCTAACGTCTCAAACGTCATCCCACTCACCTCTCAGCTCATCTGCCGCATTCTGCTTCATTGTGTCAACACCCATCGCCAGCACCGCTGCCTGCTCAATACCCCTCAGCACACCGCCCCCTCCTCTCCCACTCGTGTCACCACTGCTTCCCCCACCATCGCGGGCGCTCTGCTTCTCCCCCTCATCAACCCCATTCGCTACAGCCTCACCCCCTTCATCCCCACTCCCTACCGCCTCACCCCCAGAAGCCCCCTCTTCCACCAGGCGAGGAGCCAGCAGCACATCACTTTCCGGCTCAAACAAACACTCCAGCTCCTCCATGCTCTCCCCTTCTTCTTCCTCCTCCTCTCCCTCCCCTTCCCCCTCCTTCCCCTTCCCTTCCTTCACTGCTTCCTCACTTCCCTGCCAGTCCATGTCGCTAAGCACCGTCGCATCTCCTCCTTCCTTGACGGCTTCGCTTCTCGTTACTGCAAGCACGAGCTGGGCCTTGGGATCAACCTGCGTGCAAGCATTCCACAGGAAATAGAGTAACGAGGCGAAGGTGCATTCATGCACTGTTTGAGGCCCCTCAACCTCAGAAGCTGCGGAAGCACAAACAGTGAAGGAGCAAATGAAGGCATGCATGCTCAAAGGATGCAAGTGCCGCAGCATTGACCGACCGTGCCTGCACGAGCAAACCAGCTCAGCATTGGGATCACCCTGTGTGCATTCCACAGCAGAGTTGTGAATGCAAGGAGGAGTGAATGAAGGCATGTGTGCATGTATGTGCATCCCTGTGCTCATACTCACTCCTTCCCTTCTTCACCTCATGATCAGCATTATGGTGCTACTACCCCATGCCCCCCTTCAAGGGGACTTTTGAGTCGACTCATAAGTCACCCCGTTACCGTGCTACTACCCCATGACCCCCCTCGCACCGAGCGCCACTGTCACTCCCGTGTTCTGCCAACTCCCTCAAATCAAACCCTATGACTCTGTCTATGTGTGTTATGTGGTGAACCCTCACACATCACACCCTTCACCTCCATCACAGTCACTGTGTCACCCTTTCCTCATAGTGTGACCCCCACTACTCAACCATACCCCTGTTCACCTGATGTATGGTGCGGTAACCCATGGCTCCTGTCACACTCAGCACCACTCCGCACTCCTGCAAAGCTCTCTCAAAACACTTCCTGAACGCACTCTCAGAGAGCAGGTGTTTGGGTGTGAGGGGAAGGGAAGGGATGGGAGAAAGGGAGGGGCGGGTTGCGGCTGAATGGATGGAGCCCAGCCTAGGTAAAAAACAATGCCATGAGAAAAACCTGTTAGTGGCAAATTGTCAGCCTAGGTAAAGCATATGAAAGTAGAGCCTGGAGCTCCATTTTGTCGCAACCGCCCTGAAAGCATTTTATACGAGCTTCTGAAATTCACATTGTGGTTTCAAGTTCCTGCAACTGGAAGAAATGTGGCGATGGAGGTAAGGTAAGGTAAGGTAAGGTAAGGTAGAGTCACTGGAGTGTCAAGACATAGGAGGAGCATTCGAGGGAATAAAGAACCGGAAAAGGGGTGCATGAGAGACAGAATTGCGTGTCTCGCAGGCATAGCCCACGTGCCAGGCACACACCTGGCAGTGTCCACGTGTCAGGCACACACCTGGCAGTGTCCACGTGTCAGGCACACACCTGGCAGTGTCCACGTGTGCATAGGCCATCTCCGTCATCCCAACCTCCAAATGCACCATCGCAGCCACCCGCACACACACTTCCTCCTCCCCCTCCACTCCTCCCTCCATTCCCCCCTCCTCCCTTCCCTCCTCCCTTCCCTCCTCCCTTCCCTCCTCCCTTCCCTCCTCCTTCTCCTCCCTTCCCTCTCCCCCCTCCTTGTTAAAGAAAGCTTGTTTCATAGCATCTTTCCCCCCCAAAGTCTCTCGCAGGTGAACATTACACAGGAGCAGCAGGGCACGGAGGGAGGGGGACCGCTCCTGTAGCACCCTCTGGTGAATAACGACAACCCTTGCCGCCCACCAGGGCCAGGAGGGCGGCAGCAGGGAGGGGGAGAATGCCTCAGAAGGTTTGACAGAGGGAGTGGAGGGGGAGGGAGAGGAGGAAGGGGAGGAGGAGGAAGGGGAAGGGAAGAGGAGTGGGAAGAGAGGGGGGAGGAGGAGGGTTCGGGCGAGTAGGAGGTACTGGGGGAGGTGGCATCTGCCTGTGACGTCAGCACCATCTGTCATGAGCTCCACCTGGCACCACTTGCTCAGCGCCACGCGTGCCGCCTCGCTGGCGAGGAACGAGGGTTGGCTGGCAGGTGCTGACGTGTCAGTTGGGGTTGCTGATGTGTCCTGTATGGCTGCTGATGTGTCGTTGTTGGTACGCGGTGGGCTGAGTGGGAGTGTTGGGACTGCAGAAGGCTCGGGACTGGTGGTGGGGCGAGAGAAAGAGGGAGGGGATGGTGAGAGAGGAGGGAGTGGAGCGAATGGCATGGGGGGCAAGGAAGAGCGAATGTAGGAGGGCGGGGAAGATCCAGGAAAGGGGGACCGCAAGGGAAGAGTGGGAGCGAGAAAGGAGGACAAAATCTGGAATTATCATTGAATTTGTAACAAAAATTAAAGAAAATGATGATTTCTCAACCAGAAATTTGGACCTCTTTTGTAATGTTGTGTAAGGATTAGGACAGGATCTTGATTTGTGGTCCCTGGTTCATGGCTCGGGGTTGAGGGTTCCAGGCTCAAAGTTCAAATCCCAGGTTTGAGGCTCAGGGGTTAAGGCTCAGGGCTGTCCTTTCAATGTTCAAATTTTAGAGGCTGAGAGTGGGCTTGCATGCAACTTAACCATACCCTGAGGCTAAAGTTTAAACCCCGAACCCTGACTGCCCTCACAGCCCTCATTAGCCTGATACCCTGACTGGTTCTTGAAATTTCACAATATCCTGATCCTTTTTTTGGATCCACGCCTCCCTCACTGCACCTCTTGGTACCCTCAGCTAGTCACCCACCCGCTAACGTTAGCCTGCACGAAGAGACAGAGACTCGCCGCCCCCATCATCAGCACCAATAGCGCCTTTTCTCCCCCGCTCCACCCGCCAACCCCCTTGTCGTCCGCCTTCCCGCTTCCCGAGGGAGTTTTCTCCCCCAGATCCGCCAGCAGCGCGACAATTCTTTCCCGCACTGAGCGGAAAAACGCTTCCGCCGCCGCTGCGCCCGCGGCGGCTTCCCCCAGCTGGCTCCGCGCGTCCACGGGGACGGCTTCCGCCAGCTGATCCGCGGAGGGGAGGACCGTGAGCGCGGAGGATGCGCGCTCCAGCGCGGCGGCATACCTGCCCGCGCCGATGAGCGCAACCACGGATGCCAGAGCGGTTAACGGCCGTTCGCCTGACGGTCGTCCGCCGGACGGTCGTTCGCTCGACGGCCGTTCATGCGACACTGACGCGATGCTCTCTGAGGCGCTGAGCCCGTTACCCTCGCGCGCTAAACTTCGCGAATGTAGCTCGCCGCGATGCCGTAGCGCGAACGACGGCGGCGCTCCGAGCGAAACGAGCAAAAGCTCGAGTTCCAACGATCGCTCCTCGATGCTCGCGCCTAAGCTTGCGCGTGCCATGGCGGGTAATCTTCTCGTTACTGGCTATGGTTTTTATGTTTGTAGAAGTCGTTTGGGCCTTCAAAAGACTCAGGTTGCGGTAACCGTTTACATTTTTGGAATGACTTTGTGTCAGGTGGAAAATTGGTGTCTCGAACGTGAGCGAACGAAGTTTTCGGCTAGAAGTCGCAACCGCAATCGAACTGTGCTCGAAACTCCAACAGAATATTAGTCGCTAACTTCGTAACTGAATACGCTTCCATACCGGTTCCCTTAGCAATTCCAAACCAACCCAAGCACCATAGTTCCGCCACCCGACATCACATCTTGTCGTCAGTTCCTTTCGCCTGATTTCTTTATTCCCAAGCTTGCGTCATTTTCAGCTGCTCTGTAAAGGCTCATTTAGAGGAAGAATTTAACTCCATATAATCATAGTTCGACTTTGCGGTCTCTGCCTTACAGTTTTTTTCTCAGAGGACGGACGTTCTCTTGGTCATCACGATTTTTGAGGCGCCTCTAAAAGGCTTTTCGCCACCGCTCGGCAGCACCGTTCGCCAGCACCGTTCGCCAGCACCGCTCGCCAGCACTAAAAAATGGACGAGCTATACAGCGACGACGACGGGTACGCCTCGCCCATCGACGATAACGAAGACGATGCACTGTCGGACAAGGGTGAGGAGGAGCTGGATCGCGACGAGGAACGCATTCAAAACCCCGCAACCATTCTCAACCCCGATGGAACGTACCGCTGCCCGTTCTGCCCGGGCCAGATGAAGCAGGATTACCTGTTCAACGAAGTATTGACTCACGCCCAAGCTCAATCGCAAAAGACGTCGAGAAAAGGGGCGAAGGAGAGTCGGCGGCACAAGATGCTGGTGGAGCGGCTGATGCGCCCGGATATGAAGCCGGCAAAGCCTGCTCGGGCTGTGAACGCGGCGCCTCTTCAGGCACCGGCCGTTGTGGAGGTAAGGTGGCTTTAAGTTTTGAGTCGGCGGCACAAGATGCTAGTGAAGCGTCTAATGAGGGGGGAGTTGCAGCCGGAAAGGCCCATTCGACCTGTAACCGCTGCCCCTCTTCAAACACCGGCTGTTGTAGAGGTAAGACATGGCTTCAAGCGGTATGAATAATTCCAGTGCCTTTGGTCTTTATCGATGCACTTCTCTCTTTTCAGAAAATAAAAGAAGTAGAAGAAATTTCATGTCTCGTTTCTTTTTTTTTTTTGGGGGGGGGGGGGGGGAGGGGGGGGGGGGGGTGTCCGTTTTGATTATCTTTGCAGGATCGGATTCTGTGGCCGCCCGTGGCGATTGTGAAGAACCTGCATACGTTTTGGAAGTTTGATCCGAAGCAGAACAGGGACATTCTGGGCGGCACCACTCGCGAGGAGCTGGAAAGCACGCTTAACGACTACGGGCCGCGGAAAGTGGACGTGCTTTACAGTGAGTGGGGTGCGAGTGAGGGAGGAAGGAGGAGGCTGTAGAGGGAGAGACTGCATACGGGGAAGAAGAAGGCGTGACGTGATGTGTCAATATCGAAATAGATATTGTGTTGACTCGATACTGTCGCATTTGCATGCGGCATGCCTGCCTGCCTCTCTCATGCCCTCACGTTTGTTGTTGCTTGTTCAATCTCCCCCCTTCATCGGAACACAAGGGCCATACAGTTCAGGGACCGCTGTGATTCTCTTTTAAAGGACCCGAGTGGTGCCGCCCAGGTCGCCAAGGGCTGGGAGGCCACTTCCATCCACATGCATGCCTCTGCCTTTTCCAAACTGCGTTGCTCTCTTGACTATAACTCCCCCTTCAGCGGAATGCAAGGGCCATAAATGGACGGCTGTGATTCACTTTGAGGGGGACGCCAAGGGCTGGGAGGCCACATCCATCAACATGCCTGCCTCTCTGCTTCTTCCTGAGCTGCGGCACTCTCTTGATCCCCCCCCTTCCTCAGAACACATCGGCATGGGTCATACCGGGATGGCTCTCCTCCTCTTTGAGGAAAACGCCAAGGGGTGGGAGGCTGTGAGAGAGGAGAGGGGCCACCACATGCATACACTACACATGCCTTCCTCTCTGTTCCTTTCCAAACTGGGATTCTCTTCTCATCAAATCCTCACCCTTCATCAGACTTCAGGGCCATACCGGGATGGCTCTCCTCCTCTTTGAGGAAAACGCCAAGGGGTGGGAAGCAGCGTCGAAGCTGGACAAGACATATAGCCAGGCAGGGTTGGGGAGGGAGGGGTATGCGAATGGGAGGAGGCGCGAGACGAAGGAGTTGTTTGCGTGGACGGCAAGGGAGCAGGATTTGAAGGAAGAGAATGAGAAGGGGCCGCTTGGGAGTGCGCTGCATAAGAAGCACAATGCAACCAAGAGCCTGAGGGAGGTGAGTTTGGTTTGGTTGATAGATTTGACTTGAAAGGCATCTGTAGGTTATTGGAGTGAGAAGGGTCGCCGCTGGGGAGTGTACTGCATAATTACGACTGGACGAGGCTATGTTGTTTCATAATTGCGACTTTGAATTAAGGGTAGAGCCTGAGAATGGGTCAGTGGGGAGGCGGTGCGGTGATAGCCTTTTTTCCGCTCCTCTCTCTTCTCGCTTTCCCTACTCTCTCCTCTCTCTTTCCCTGCTCTCTCCTCTCTCAGGTGTTCGACGAGCAGGAGTCAGTGAAGCGGCAGCAGGAGCAAGAGGAGAGGCGCGTGCAGGAGAGGGCGTTCATGTGCCTATTCAACTCACACCCCCTCTTCCCCCTCCTCTCTCCTCCCCTCGCCAGGTGTTGGACGAGCAGGAATCAGTGAAGCGGCAGCAGGAGCGCGAGGAGAGGCGGGCGCAAGAGCGTGCATACATGCGCCCATCCAATTCACCCTTCCTCGCCTGTCCCCTCTCTTCCCCGCCTCCCCTCGCCAGGTGTTGGACGAGCAGGAGTCAGTGAAGCGGCAGCAGGAGCGCGAGGAGAGGCGCGTGCAGGAGCGGGCGTTCATGCGCCTGTCAGAGCGGCTGCAGGACACAGAGGGGCGGCTGAAGGAGATGGAGGACTCTGCTATGCAACTCAGGAAGAAGCACGAGCAAGGTGTGCAACTGGAAGAATGAGGAATGTATGTGAAGGTTGTGATTATGATGTATGGAGTATCAGTTGCTGTTGGCAGGTGAGCAGGGTGAGAGATTCCAAAAGCTGTTGCAAAGAGTTATAGCGATCTAGCGCCGGTTTGCGCAGGCGAATCAAGACGCTCATGTCTTGAGGTAATGATGTCACGTGAGGTGCTTCAGCTTACAAGGGCATTATTACCTCAAGGCATGAGTGCCTTGATCGCCTGCCCAAACTGGTGTTGAGTCGCTGGAACTTTTTGCGCCAGTCCTGGAGTCTCTCACCCAACTCACCAGCCACAGCAACTGATACTCCATCACACCTTTATCACGAGCAAGGAAAGTTAGTGGTGCACACATGTGAGAGTCTGTCGGATAGCCTGTGGGAGGGAGTGTCTGCAAGGAGTGCTTGCATTGCACGAGGGAGTGCCTGCAAGAGGGAGTGCCTGCAGGAGGGAGTGCCTGCAGGAGGGAGTGCCTGCAGGAGGGAGTGCCTGCAGGAGGGAGTGCCTGCAGGAGGGAGTGCTTGCAGGAGGGAGTGCTTGCAGGAGGGAGTGCTTGCAGGAGGGAGTGCTTGCAGGAGGGAGTGCTTGCAGGAGGGAGTGCTTGCAGGAGGGAGTGCCTGCAGGAGGGAGTGCTTGCAGGAGGGAGTACCTGCAGGAGGGAGTGCTTGCAGGAGGGAGTGCCTGCAGGAGGGAGTGCCTGCAGGAGGGAGTGCCTGCAGGAGGGAGTGCCTGCAGGAGGGAGTGCCTGCAGAGCACAGAAGGGCTGCTGAAGGAGATGGAAGACTTTGGGATGACGCTTAGGAAGAAAGAAGCACGGCAAGGTGCGTGGAAGATGATGTGAGACGGGGATGAATGTGTTATGGCGTTCAGGTCGCATGCGGGATGGCATGGAGCAAGAAGTGAAAGGGCTGGTGCAGTTTTTCCTTGATGCTCCCTCTCTCCCCCTGTCCTGTCCCATGCTTTTCCCATGCCTTTTGTCACACCTGCCCTGTGTCCTCCCTTGTTCCTCTCACTGCTGCAGAGTTGGCAGAGGCACACGCGTACACACAGGAGGTGGTGGAGAGGCAGATGCGGGACCGGATGCGGGAGGTGCGGCGCATGGAAGGTGAAATGGAGTGGCTGCAGCGACAGCTTAAGGAGAGGAGTGCCAACGAGCAGGAGGTGAGGGGGGGGGTGAGGGATGCAAGGGGAGAGGGGGTGAGGAGAGAAGGGGGTGAGGGGAGAGGTAGATGTGGGATCGCATACTGGAGGTGCGGCGCATGGAAGGGGAGGGGAGGTGGAGTGGTTGCAGCGACAGCTAAAGGAGAGGAGTGCGAATGAGCAGGAGGTGAGGGGCGATAGGGCATTGTTTTTGGCTGAAGCATAGTTGTTGCGAATTCCACTGTCGCACACATGCATTCTCGCACATGCACTCTCACACACATGCACTCGCGCGCACATGCACTCGTGCACACATGCACTCGCGCACACATGCACTCGCGCACACATGCACTCGCGTACACATGCACCCTCGCACACATGCACTCGCGCACACATGCACTCGCGCACTCATGCACTCGCGTACACATGCACCCTCGCACACATGCACTCGCGCACACATGCACTCGCGCACTCATGCACTCGCGTACACATGCACTCTCACACACATGCACTCGCGCGCACATGCACTCGCGCACACATGCACTCGCGTACACATGCACTCTCACACTCATGCACTCGCGTACACATGCACTCTCACACACATGCACTCGCGCGCACATGCACTCGCGCGCACATGCACTCGCGCACACATGCACTCTCGCACACATGCACTCGCGCACACATGCACTCGCGCACACATGCACTCGCGCACACATGCACTCGCGCACACATGCACTCGCGCACACATGCACTCGCGCACACATGCACTCGCGCACACATGCACTCGCGCACACATGCACTCGCGCACACATGCACTCGCGCACACATGCACTCGCGCACACATGCACTCGCGCACACATGCACTCGCGCACACATGCACTCGCGCACACATGCACTCTCGCACACATGCACTCGCGCACACATGCACTCGCGCACACATGCACTCGCGCACACATGCACTCGCGCACACATGCACTCGCGCACACATGCACTCGCGCACACATGCACTCGCGCACACATGCACTCGCGCACATGCACTCGCGCACACATGCACTCGCGCACACATGCACTCGCGCACACATGCACTCGCGCACACATGCACTCGCGCACACATGCACGCGCGCACACATGCACGCGCGCGCACATGCACTCGCGCACACATGCACTCGCGTACACATGCACTCTCACGCACATGCACTCGTGCACACATGCACTCGCGCACACATGCACTCGCGCACACATGCACTCGCGCACACATGCACTCGCGCACACATGCACTCGCGCACACATGCACTCGCGCACACATGCACTCGCGCACACATGCACTCGCGCACACATGCACTCGCGCGCACATGCACTCGCGCACACATGCACTCGCGCGCACATGCACTCGCGCACACATGCACTCGCGCACACATGCACTCGCGCGCACATGCACTCGCGCACACATGCACTCGCACGCACATGCACTCGCGCACACATGCACTCGCACGCACATGCACTCGCGCACACATGCACTCGCACGCACATGCACTCGCGCACACATGCACTCGCGCACACATGCACTCGCGCACACATGCACTCGCGCACACATGCACTCGCGCACACATGCACTCGCGCACACATGCACTCGCGCACACATGCACTCGTGCACACATGCACTCGTGCACACGTACCCTACCTACTGTCACCATCTGAATCCCTTTTCGCCTTATCCCAGCCCACTCATGGGTCAGTCACACACCCCTGTCATGGCAGACGAGGCGAAGGCTGGAGGGGCTAACACGACAGCTGAAGCAGTAGCAGGAGCAGGGGGGGCTGAGCGCATGTGATACATGCACTGTCACGTATGCAGTACTGTAACCATCTGAATTCCTTGTCACATCCCTGTTATGGCAGACGAGGCGAAGGCTGGAGGTGCTGACACGGCAGCTGAAGCAGCAGGAGCAGCAGGGGGAGCTGCAGCAGCAGCAGGCTCAGAGGCGAGCGGTGAGTGGCTGACGCTGGGTGTGAGGCGAGCGGTGAGTGGCTGACGCTGGGTGTGAGGCGAGCGGTGAGTGGCTGACGCTGGGTGTGAGGCGAGACCTTTGAGAAGTCTCCAAAGGCTCAGAGGCGAGTGGTGAGTGGATAAAGCTGGGTGGGAGGGTGGGAAGGGGAGAAGTGGAGAGGGTGGGGGAAGACATGGAAAATAAGTTTTCAGAGTGCCTTATTGTGCATGAACATTGTTCAAACTTGAGCACCACCTTGCTCCTCTTTCCTTCCTTCCGTCCTTCGGTCCTCCGTTCCTCTCTCCTGTCCCTCTTCCTTCTCTCCCTCTCCCCCGCCCACCAGCGTGAAATGGAGGAACTGGTGGTGAGGTTCCAGCAGGTGCGGTTGAAGGTGGAGCAGCGGCATCGCATGGAGGTGCAACTGGAGGAAGCCAAGGGGAAGCAGGGCGCAGTGGGGGAGGAAGGGTCGAAGGAGGCGGAGGAGAGGGTGAGGCGGCTGGAGGAGGCAAAGAACCTGCTAGACGTGGAGGCTTTTGAGTCGACTCTAAAGTCACCTGGTTGTTCCTCCTTCCTTCCCTTCATCTCTCCCTCTCCCCCCCCCCCTTACCCCCCCTTACCCCCCCCACTTTCGACCACCAGCGGGAAATGGAGGAGCTGGAAGCAAGATTCCAGCAGGTGCGGTTAAAAGTGGAGCAGCGGCATCGCATGGAGGTGCAGCTGGAGGAAGCCAAGGGGAAGCAGGGCGCAGCGGGGGAGGAAGGGTCCAAGGAGGCGGAGGAGAGGGTGAGGCGGCTGGAGGAGGAGCTGGAGGAGGCGAAGGAGATGCTGGATGAGGAGCAGGACAGGTTCTTCCGGCTGTCCGTGGATGCTCGGGTGAAGGACGATGACGTGCTGAATGCCAGGAAGACAGTGCTCGAGGTGCGTGCTTGCTTGCTTGCCTTTAGGTGTGTTCTTGCTTGCCTGGTTGCTGAGTGCTTGCTTGCCTTAAGGCCTACCGAGCGTGCCGCACATGCAAGGCGTGCCCCTCGGGCCCGCGTGCCATGTGCTCAACTCACTCTTCTTCTTCCCTGTGTCCTCTCCTCTCCTCCCCTACCCCTTCTCCTCCCTCTTCCCTCCTCTAGTTTCTGAAGGAGCATCAGAAACTTCTCAAGGCAGTGACCCTCCCAGGAATACCCGAGCTGGTAAACAAGCCTCCTGTGCGCCCCCAGGCAGTGGGGCTTCTCCACAAGCCACTCTGGCTCAAGGCATACCGTGCCTGCCGCACATGCAAGGCGTGCCCTGCGTGCCGAGCGAACAAGGCGATCAGAGCATGCAAGCAGTGCAGGGCGTGTGGGGAGTGCAAGAAGGAGATGGACGAGCGGGACCCCAACTGGCAGGCGGATTTCACTGTGAAGTTCTCCGCGTGGGACGAGCTGATCAGGTCTACTGATTATGACTTCTTTCGTGTGCAAGAAATAAATGGAGTTGCCAAGGTATGCAGTCATGCCAGGGTATGCAGTAAATTCTAAGTCGGTTAATAAGTCACCTCTGTGTTTCGGTTGGGAGGAGGCACTCAAGTGTAACGATCAGGGCGTGTGGGGCGTGCAACGAGGGGATGGACGATCGGGATCCCAACTCGCTGGCGGATTTCACTGTGGAGTTCTCCGCGTGGGAGGAGCTGATCAGGTCTACTGAGCATGACTTCTTTCGAGTGCAAGAGATAGATGGAGTTGCCAAGGTATGCAGCCAACACTCTGTACTCAAGGTACATACTGAGTCGAGTCAAAAGTCGCCCCTGTTTCCCGTGTGGGAGGAGGCGGTTTACTGCTTATCTTTTTTTTTTTCCGAGCCCTTGTAACGAATTGTAGTAGCCAAGGTACGCAGTCATGCGACGGTATTGTTAGGGGTGGCCTCAAAAATAGGCATGCTATGCAGTCTTGTAATGTAATCAAGGGTGTGCTTTTGAGTTTACTTCATAGAAGACGCCTCTTCCTTTCTGTCTCCCCCCCTTCCCTTGTACCATTATTAGTGTGTGTTCAACAGTAACTATGTGCTAGAGGTTCGAGGCTATTATTAAATTTTAAAGCTCCTTAAAAACGTTCTGTCCCCGCTTCTGCTTCTGTCTCCCCCCTTCCCTTGCTGTGTTCAACAGCAAAGATGAGCTAGTAGCCAAGGCTATGAGAGAGATCGAGTCGAATTTCGCGTGGGGGGGTGATAATTAAGGCGTATAAAACATCAATCTCCTCTTCCCCTTCTGTCTACCCCCCGCTCCCTCGTACCAACAGCGCGTGTTCAACAGCAAAGGCTATAGGAGAGAGATCGGGGCCAGTGGCCAAGGCTATGAGAGAGATCGGGGTGGATTTTGCATGGGCGGGCGGGAGTGGCGGATTTCACGCGAGCAGCTGCGGAGATTGAGGAGTACAATGCGAGTGGGCGGTACCCTCTCACTCTTCTGTTCCCCTTCTGTCTTCCCCACTCCCTTCTGTCTTCCCCACTCCCTTCTGTCTTCCCCACTCCCTTCTGTCTTCCCCACTCCCTTCTGTCTTCCCCACTCCCTTCTGTCTTCCCCACTCCCTTCTGTCTTCCCCACTCCCTTCTGTCTTCCCCACTCCCTTCTGTCTTCCCCACTCCCTTCTGTCTTCCCCACTCCCTTCTGTCTTCCCCACTCCCTTCTGTCTTCCCCACTCCCTTCTGTCTTCCCCACTCCCTTCTGTCTTCCCCACTCCCTTCTGTCTTCCCCACTCCCTTCTGTCTTCCCCACTCCCTTCTGTCTTCCCCACTCCCTTCTGTCTTCCCCACTCCCTTCTGTCTTCCCCACTCCCTTCTGTCTTCCCCACTCCCTTCTGTCTTCCCCACTCCCTTCTGTCTTCCCCACTCCCTTCTGTCTTCCCCACTCCCTTCTGTCTTCCCCACTCCCTTCTGTCTTCCCCACTCCCTTCTGTCTTCCCCACTCCCTTCTGTCTTCCCCACTCCCTTCTGTCTTCCCCACTCCCTTCTGTCTTCCCCACTCCCTTCTGTCTTCCCCACTCCCTTCTGTCTTCCCCACTCCCTTCTGTCTTCCCCACTCCCTTCTGTCTTCCCCACTCCCTTCTGTCTTCCCCACTCCCTTCTGTCTTCCCCACTCCCTTCTGTCTTCCCCACTCCCTTCTGTCTTCCCCACTCCCTTCTGTCTTCCCCACTCCCTTCTGTCTTCCCCACTCCCTTCTGTCTTCCCCACTCCCTTCTGTCTTCCCCACTCCCTTCTGTCTTCCCCACTCCCTTCTGTCTTCCCCACTCCCTTCTGTCTTCCCCACTCCCTTCTGTCTTCCCCACTCCCTTCTGTCTTCCCCACTCCCTTCTGTCTTCCCCACTCCCTTCTGTCTTCCCCACTCCCTTCTGTCTTCCCCACTCCCTTCTGTCTTCCCCACTCCCTTCTGTCTTCCCCACTCCCTTCTGTCTTCCCCACTCCCTTCTGTCTTCCCCACTCCCTTCTGTCTTCCCCACTCCCTTCTGTCTTCCCCACTCCCTTCTGTCTTCCCCACTCCCTTCTGTCTTCCCCACTCCCTTCTGTCTTCCCCACTCCCTTCTGTCTTCCCCACTCCCTTCTGTCTTCCCCACTCCCTTCTGTCTTCCCCACTCCCTTCTGTCTTCCCCACTCCCTTCTGTCTTCCCCACTCCCTTCTGTCTTCCCCACTCCCTTCTGTCTTCCCCACTCCCTTCTGTCTTCCCCACTCCCTTCTGTCTTCCCCACTCCCTTCTGTCTTCCCCACTCCCTTCTGTCTTCCCCACTCCCTTCTGTCTTCCCCACTCCCTTCTGTCTTCCCCACTCCCTTCTGTCTTCCCCACTCCCTTCTGTCTTCCCCACTCCCTTCTGTCTTCCCCACTCCCTTCTGTCTTCCCCACTCCCTTCTGTCTTCCCCACTCCCTTCTGTCTTCCCCACTCCCTTCTGTCTTCCCCACTCCCTTCTGTCTTCCCCACTCCCTTCTGTCTTCCCCACTCCCTTCTGTCTTCCCCACTCCCTTCTGTCTTCCCCACTCCCTTCTGTCTTCCCCACTCCCTTCTGTCTTCCCCACTCCCTTCTGTCTTCCCCACTCCCTTCTGTCTTCCCCACTCCCTTCTGTCTTCCCCACTCCCTTCTGTCTTCCCCACTCCCTTCTGTCTTCCCCACTCCCTTCTGTCTTCCCCACTCCCTTCTGTCTTCCCCACTCCCTTCTGTCTTCCCCACTCCCTTCTGTCTTCCCCACTCCCTTCTGTCTTCCCCACTCCCTTCTGTCTTCCCCACTCCCTTCTGTCTTCCCCACTCCCTTCTGTCTTCCCCACTCCCTTCTGTCTTCCCCACTCCCTTCTGTCTTCCCCACTCCCTTCTGTCTTCCCCACTCCCTTCTGTCTTCCCCACTCCCTTCTGTCTTCCCCACTCCCTTCTGTCTTCCCCACTCCCTTCTGTCTTCCCCACTCCCTTCTGTCTTCCCCACTCCCTTCTGTCTTCCCCACTCCCTTCTGTCTTCCCCACTCCCTTCTGTCTTCCCCACTCCCTTCTGTCTTCCCCACTCCCTTCTGTCTTCCCCACTCCCTTCTGTCTTCCCCACTCCCTTCTGTCTTCCCCACTCCCTTCTGTCTTCCCCACTCCCTTCTGTCTTCCCCACTCCCTTCTGTCTTCCCCACTCCCTTCTGTCTTCCCCACTCCCTTCTGTCTTCCCCACTCCCTTCTGTCTTCCCCACTCCCTTCTGTCTTCCCCACTCCCTTCTGTCTTCCCCACTCCCTTCTGTCTTCCCCACTCCCTTCTGTCTTCCCCACTCCCTTCTGTCTTCCCCACTCCCTTCTGTCTTCCCCACTCCCTTCTGTCTTCCCCACTCCCTTCTGTCTTCCCCACTCCCTTCTGTCTTCCCCACTCCCTTCTGTCTTCCCCACTCCCTTCTGTCTTCCCCACTCCCTTCTGTCTTCCCCACTCCCTTCTGTCTTCCCCACTCCCTTCTGTCTTCCCCACTCCCTTCTGTCTTCCCCACTCCCTTCTGTCTTCCCCACTCCCTTCTGTCTTCCCCACTCCCTTCTGTCTTCCCCACTCCCTTCTGTCTTCCCCACTCCCTTCTGTCTTCCCCACTCCCTTCTGTCTTCCCCACTCCCTTCTGTCTTCCCCACTCCCTTCTGTCTTCCCCACTCCCTTCTGTCTTCCCCACTCCCTTCTGTCTTCCCCACTCCCTTCTGTCTTCCCCACTCCCTTCTGTCTTCCCCACTCCCTTCTGTCTTCCCCACTCCCTTCTGTCTTCCCCACTCCCTTCTGTCTTCCCCACTCCCTTCTGTCTTCCCCACTCCCTTCTGTCTTCCCCACTCCCTTCTGTCTTCCCCACTCCCTTCTGTCTTCCCCACTCCCTTCTGTCTTCCCCACTCCCTTCTGTCTTCCCCACTCCCTTCTGTCTTCCCCACTCCCTTCTGTCTTCCCCACTCCCTTCTGTCTTCCCCACTCCCTTCTGTCTTCCCCACTCCCTTCTGTCTTCCCCACTCCCTTCTGTCTTCCCCACTCCCTTCTGTCTTCCCCACTCCCTTCTGTCTTCCCCACTCCCTTCTGTCTTCCCCACTCCCTTCTGTCTTCCCCACTCCCTTCTGTCTTCCCCACTCCCTTCTGTCTTCCCCACTCCCTTCTGTCTTCCCCACTCCCTTCTGTCTTCCCCACTCCCTTCTGTCTTCCCCACTCCCTTCTGTCTTCCCCACTCCCTTCTGTCTTCCCCACTCCCTTCTGTCTTCCCCACTCCCTTCTGTCTTCCCCACTCCCTTCTGTCTTCCCCACTCCCTTCTGTCTTCCCCACTCCCTTCTGTCTTCCCCACTCCCTTCTGTCTTCCCCACTCCCTTCTGTCTTCCCCACTCCCTTCTGTCTTCCCCACTCCCTTCTGTCTTCCCCACTCCCTTCTGTCTTCCCCACTCCCTTCTGTCTTCCCCACTCCCTTCTGTCTTCCCCACTCCCTTCTGTCTTCCCCACTCCCTTCTGTCTTCCCCACTCCCTTCTGTCTTCCCCACTCCCTTCTGTCTTCCCCACTCCCTTCTGTCTTCCCCACTCCCTTCTGTCTTCCCCACTCCCTTCTGTCTTCCCCACTCCCTTCTGTCTTCCCCACTCCCTTCTGTCTTCCCCACTCCCTTCTGTCTTCCCCACTCCCTTCTGTCTTCCCCACTCCCTTCTGTCTTCCCCACTCCCTTCTGTCTTCCCCACTCCCTTCTGTCTTCCCCACTCCCTTCTGTCTTCCCCACTCCCTTCTGTCTTCCCCACTCCCTTCTGTCTTCCCCACTCCCTTCTGTCTTCCCCACTCCCTTCTGTCTTCCCCACTCCCTTCTGTCTTCCCCACTCCCTTCTGTCTTCCCCACTCCCTTCTGTCTTCCCCACTCCCTTCTGTCTTCCCCACTCCCTTCTGTCTTCCCCACTCCCTTCTGTCTTCCCCACTCCCTTCTGTCTTCCCCACTCCCTTCTGTCTTCCCCACTCCCTTCTGTCTTCCCCACTCCCTTCTGTCTTCCCCACTCCCTTCTGTCTTCCCCACTCCCTTCTGTCTTCCCCACTCCCTTCTGTCTTCCCCACTCCCTTCTGTCTTCCCCACTCCCTTCTGTCTTCCCCACTCCCTTCTGTCTTCCCCACTCCCTTCTGTCTTCCCCACTCCCTTCTGTCTTCCCCACTCCCTTCTGTCTTCCCCACTCCCTTCTGTCTTCCCCACTCCCTTCTGTCTTCCCCACTCCCTTCTGTCTTCCCCACTCCCTTCTGTCTTCCCCACTCCCTTCTGTCTTCCCCACTCCCTTCTGTCTTCCCCACTCCCTTCTGTCTTCCCCACTCCCTTCTGTCTTCCCCACTCCCTTCTGTCTTCCCCACTCCCTTCTGTCTTCCCCACTCCCTTCTGTCTTCCCCACTCCCTTCTGTCTTCCCCACTCCCTTCTGTCTTCCCCACTCCCTTCTGTCTTCCCCACTCCCTTCTGTCTTCCCCACTCCCTTCTGTCTTCCCCACTCCCTTCTGTCTTCCCCACTCCCTTCTGTCTTCCCCACTCCCTTCTGTCTTCCCCACTCCCTTCTGTCTTCCCCACTCCCTTCTGTCTTCCCCACTCCCTTCTGTCTTCCCCACTCCCTTCTGTCTTCCCCACTCCCTTCTGTCTTCCCCACTCCCTTCTGTCTTCCCCACTCCCTTCTGTCTTCCCCACTCCCTTCTGTCTTCCCCACTCCCTTCTGTCTTCCCCACTCCCTTCTGTCTTCCCCACTCCCTTCTGTCTTCCCCACTCCCTTCTGTCTTCCCCACTCCCTTCTGTCTTCCCCACTCCCTTCTGTCTTCCCCACTCCCTTCTGTCTTCCCCACTCCCTTCTGTCTTCCCCACTCCCTTCTGTCTTCCCCACTCCCTTCTGTCTTCCCCACTCCCTTCTGTCTTCCCCACTCCCTTCTGTCTTCCCCACTCCCTTCTGTCTTCCCCACTCCCTTCTGTCTTCCCCACTCCCTTCTGTCTTCCCCACTCCCTTCTGTCTTCCCCACTCCCTTCTGTCTTCCCCACTCCCTTCTGTCTTCCCCACTCCCTTCTGTCTTCCCCACTCCCTTCTGTCTTCCCCACTCCCTTCTGTCTTCCCCACTCCCTTCTGTCTTCCCCACTCCCTTCTGTCTTCCCCACTCCCTTCTGTCTTCCCCACTCCCTTCTGTCTTCCCCACTCCCTTCTGTCTTCCCCACTCCCTTCTGTCTTCCCCACTCCCTTCTGTCTTCCCCACTCCCTTCTGTCTTCCCCACTCCCTTCTGTCTTCCCCACTCCCTTCTGTCTTCCCCACTCCCTTCTGTCTTCCCCACTCCCTTCTGTCTTCCCCACTCCCTTCTGTCTTCCCCACTCCCTTCTGTCTTCCCCACTCCCTTCTGTCTTCCCCACTCCCTTCTGTCTTCCCCACTCCCTTCTGTCTTCCCCACTCCCTTCTGTCTTCCCCACTCCCTTCTGTCTTCCCCACTCCCTTCTGTCTTCCCCACTCCCTTCTGTCTTCCCCACTCCCTTCTGTCTTCCCCACTCCCTTCTGTCTTCCCCACTCCCTTCTGTCTTCCCCACTCCCTTCTGTCTTCCCCACTCCCTTCTGTCTTCCCCACTCCCTTCTGTCTTCCCCACTCCCTTCTGTCTTCCCCACTCCCTTCTGTCTTCCCCACTCCCTTCTGTCTTCCCCACTCCCTTCTGTCTTCCCCACTCCCTTCTGTCTTCCCCACTCCCTTCTGTCTTCCCCACTCCCTTCTGTCTTCCCCACTCCCTTCTGTCTTCCCCACTCCCTTCTGTCTTCCCCACTCCCTTCTGTCTTCCCCACTCCCTTCTGTCTTCCCCACTCCCTTCTGTCTTCCCCACTCCCTTCTGTCTTCCCCACTCCCTTCTGTCTTCCCCACTCCCTTCTGTCTTCCCCACTCCCTTCTGTCTTCCCCACTCCCTTCTGTCTTCCCCACTCCCTTCTGTCTTCCCCACTCCCTTCTGTCTTCCCCACTCCCTTCTGTCTTCCCCACTCCCTTCTGTCTTCCCCACTCCCTTCTGTCTTCCCCACTCCCTTCTGTCTTCCCCACTCCCTTCTGTCTTCCCCACTCCCTTCTGTCTTCCCCACTCCCTTCTGTCTTCCCCACTCCCTTCTGTCTTCCCCACTCCCTTCTGTCTTCCCCACTCCCTTCTGTCTTCCCCACTCCCTTCTGTCTTCCCCACTCCCTTCTGTCTTCCCCACTCCCTTCTGTCTTCCCCACTCCCTTCTGTCTTCCCCACTCCCTTCTGTCTTCCCCACTCCCTTCTGTCTTCCCCACTCCCTTCTGTCTTCCCCACTCCCTTCTGTCTTCCCCACTCCCTTCTGTCTTCCCCACTCCCTTCTGTCTTCCCCACTCCCTTCTGTCTTCCCCACTCCCTTCTGTCTTCCCCACTCCCTTCTGTCTTCCCCACTCCCTTCTGTCTTCCCCACTCCCTTCTGTCTTCCCCACTCCCTTCTGTCTTCCCCACTCCCTTCTGTCTTCCCCACTCCCTTCTGTCTTCCCCACTCCCTTCTGTCTTCCCCACTCCCTTCTGTCTTCCCCACTCCCTTCTGTCTTCCCCACTCCCTTCTGTCTTCCCCACTCCCTTCTGTCTTCCCCACTCCCTTCTGTCTTCCCCACTCCCTTCTGTCTTCCCCACTCCCTTCTGTCTTCCCCACTCCCTTCTGTCTTCCCCACTCCCTTCTGTCTTCCCCACTCCCTTCTGTCTTCCCCACTCCCTTCTGTCTTCCCCACTCCCTTCTGTCTTCCCCACTCCCTTCTGTCTTCCCCACTCCCTTCTGTCTTCCCCACTCCCTTCTGTCTTCCCCACTCCCTTCTGTCTTCCCCACTCCCTTCTGTCTTCCCCACTCCCTTCTGTCTTCCCCACTCCCTTCTGTCTTCCCCACTCCCTTCTGTCTTCCCCACTCCCTTCTGTCTTCCCCACTCCCTTCTGTCTTCCCCACTCCCTTCTGTCTTCCCCACTCCCTTCTGTCTTCCCCACTCCCTTCTGTCTTCCCCACTCCCTTCTGTCTTCCCCACTCCCTTCTGTCTTCCCCACTCCCTTCTGTCTTCCCCACTCCCTTCTGTCTTCCCCACTCCCTTCTGTCTTCCCCACTCCCTTCTGTCTTCCCCACTCCCTTCTGTCTTCCCCACTCCCTTCTGTCTTCCCCACTCCCTTCTGTCTTCCCCACTCCCTTCTGTCTTCCCCACTCCCTTCTGTCTTCCCCACTCCCTTCTGTCTTCCCCACTCCCTTCTGTCTTCCCCACTCCCTTCTGTCTTCCCCACTCCCTTCTGTCTTCCCCACTCCCTTCTGTCTTCCCCACTCCCTTCTGTCTTCCCCACTCCCTTCTGTCTTCCCCACTCCCTTCTGTCTTCCCCACTCCCTTCTGTCTTCCCCACTCCCTTCTGTCTTCCCCACTCCCTTCTGTCTTCCCCACTCCCTTCTGTCTTCCCCACTCCCTTCTGTCTTCCCCACTCCCTTCTGTCTTCCCCACTCCCTTCTGTCTTCCCCACTCCCTTCTGTCTTCCCCACTCCCTTCTGTCTTCCCCACTCCCTTCTGTCTTCCCCACTCCCTTCTGTCTTCCCCACTCCCTTCTGTCTTCCCCACTCCCTTCTGTCTTCCCCACTCCCTTCTGTCTTCCCCACTCCCTTCTGTCTTCCCCACTCCCTTCTGTCTTCCCCACTCCCTTCTGTCTTCCCCACTCCCTTCTGTCTTCCCCACTCCCTTCTGTCTTCCCCACTCCCTTCTGTCTTCCCCACTCCCTTCTGTCTTCCCCACTCCCTTCTGTCTTCCCCACTCCCTTCTGTCTTCCCCACTCCCTTCTGTCTTCCCCACTCCCTTCTGTCTTCCCCACTCCCTTCTGTCTTCCCCACTCCCTTCTGTCTTCCCCACTCCCTTCTGTCTTCCCCACTCCCTTCTGTCTTCCCCACTCCCTTCTGTCTTCCCCACTCCCTTCTGTCTTCCCCACTCCCTTCTGTCTTCCCCACTCCCTTCTGTCTTCCCCACTCCCTTCTGTCTTCCCCACTCCCTTCTGTCTTCCCCACTCCCTTCTGTCTTCCCCACTCCCTTCTGTCTTCCCCACTCCCTTCTGTCTTCCCCACTCCCTTCTGTCTTCCCCACTCCCTTCTGTCTTCCCCACTCCCTTCTGTCTTCCCCACTCCCTTCTGTCTTCCCCACTCCCTTCTGTCTTCCCCACTCCCTTCTGTCTTCCCCACTCCCTTCTGTCTTCCCCACTCCCTTCTGTCTTCCCCACTCCCTTCTGTCTTCCCCACTCCCTTCTGTCTTCCCCACTCCCTTCTGTCTTCCCCACTCCCTTCTGTCTTCCCCACTCCCTTCTGTCTTCCCCACTCCCTTCTGTCTTCCCCACTCCCTTCTGTCTTCCCCACTCCCTTCTGTCTTCCCCACTCCCTTCTGTCTTCCCCACTCCCTTCTGTCTTCCCCACTCCCTTCTGTCTTCCCCACTCCCTTCTGTCTTCCCCACTCCCTTCTGTCTTCCCCACTCCCTTCTGTCTTCCCCACTCCCTTCTGTCTTCCCCACTCCCTTCTGTCTTCCCCACTCCCTTCTGTCTTCCCCACTCCCTTCTGTCTTCCCCACTCCCTTCTGTCTTCCCCACTCCCTTCTGTCTTCCCCACTCCCTTCTGTCTTCCCCACTCCCTTCTGTCTTCCCCACTCCCTTCTGTCTTCCCCACTCCCTTCTGTCTTCCCCACTCCCTTCTGTCTTCCCCACTCCCTTCTGTCTTCCCCACTCCCTTCTGTCTTCCCCACTCCCTTCTGTCTTCCCCACTCCCTTCTGTCTTCCCCACTCCCTTCTGTCTTCCCCACTCCCTTCTGTCTTCCCCACTCCCTTCTGTCTTCCCCACTCCCTTCTGTCTTCCCCACTCCCTTCTGTCTTCCCCACTCCCTTCTGTCTTCCCCACTCCCTTCTGTCTTCCCCACTCCCTTCTGTCTTCCCCACTCCCTTCTGTCTTCCCCACTCCCTTCTGTCTTCCCCACTCCCTTCTGTCTTCCCCACTCCCTTCTGTCTTCCCCACTCCCTTCTGTCTTCCCCACTCCCTTCTGTCTTCCCCACTCCCTTCTGTCTTCCCCACTCCCTTCTGTCTTCCCCACTCCCTTCTGTCTTCCCCACTCCCTTCTGTCTTCCCCACTCCCTTCTGTCTTCCCCACTCCCTTCTGTCTTCCCCACTCCCTTCTGTCTTCCCCACTCCCTTCTGTCTTCCCCACTCCCTTCTGTCTTCCCCACTCCCTTCTGTCTTCCCCACTCCCTTCTGTCTTCCCCACTCCCTTCTGTCTTCCCCACTCCCTTCTGTCTTCCCCACTCCCTTCTGTCTTCCCCACTCCCTTCTGTCTTCCCCACTCCCTTCTGTCTTCCCCACTCCCTTCTGTCTTCCCCACTCCCTTCTGTCTTCCCCACTCCCTTCTGTCTTCCCCACTCCCTTCTGTCTTCCCCACTCCCTTCTGTCTTCCCCACTCCCTTCTGTCTTCCCCACTCCCTTCTGTCTTCCCCACTCCCTTCTGTCTTCCCCACTCCCTTCTGTCTTCCCCACTCCCTTCTGTCTTCCCCACTCCCTTCTGTCTTCCCCACTCCCTTCTGTCTTCCCCACTCCCTTCTGTCTTCCCCACTCCCTTCTGTCTTCCCCACTCCCTTCTGTCTTCCCCACTCCCTTCTGTCTTCCCCACTCCCTTCTGTCTTCCCCACTCCCTTCTGTCTTCCCCACTCCCTTCTGTCTTCCCCACTCCCTTCTGTCTTCCCCACTCCCTTCTGTCTTCCCCACTCCCTTCTGTCTTCCCCACTCCCTTCTGTCTTCCCCACTCCCTTCTGTCTTCCCCACTCCCTTCTGTCTTCCCCACTCCCTTCTGTCTTCCCCACTCCCTTCTGTCTTCCCCACTCCCTTCTGTCTTCCCCACTCCCTTCTGTCTTCCCCACTCCCTTCTGTCTTCCCCACTCCCTTCTGTCTTCCCCACTCCCTTCTGTCTTCCCCACTCCCTTCTGTCTTCCCCACTCCCTTCTGTCTTCCCCACTCCCTTCTGTCTTCCCCACTCCCTTCTGTCTTCCCCACTCCCTTCTGTCTTCCCCACTCCCTTCTGTCTTCCCCACTCCCTTCTGTCTTCCCCACTCCCTTCTGTCTTCCCCACTCCCTTCTGTCTTCCCCACTCCCTTCTGTCTTCCCCACTCCCTTCTGTCTTCCCCACTCCCTTCTGTCTTCCCCACTCCCTTCTGTCTTCCCCACTCCCTTCTGTCTTCCCCACTCCCTTCTGTCTTCCCCACTCCCTTCTGTCTTCCCCACTCCCTTCTGTCTTCCCCACTCCCTTCTGTCTTCCCCACTCCCTTCTGTCTTCCCCACTCCCTTCTGTCTTCCCCACTCCCTTCTGTCTTCCCCACTCCCTTCTGTCTTCCCCACTCCCTTCTGTCTTCCCCACTCCCTTCTGTCTTCCCCACTCCCTTCTGTCTTCCCCACTCCCTTCTGTCTTCCCCACTCCCTTCTGTCTTCCCCACTCCCTTCTGTCTTCCCCACTCCCTTCTGTCTTCCCCACTCCCTTCTGTCTTCCCCACTCCCTTCTGTCTTCCCCACTCCCTTCTGTCTTCCCCACTCCCTTCTGTCTTCCCCACTCCCTTCTGTCTTCCCCACTCCCTTCTGTCTTCCCCACTCCCTTCTGTCTTCCCCACTCCCTTCTGTCTTCCCCACTCCCTTCTGTCTTCCCCACTCCCTTCTGTCTTCCCCACTCCCTTCTGTCTTCCCCACTCCCTTCTGTCTTCCCCACTCCCTTCTGTCTTCCCCACTCCCTTCTGTCTTCCCCACTCCCTTCTGTCTTCCCCACTCCCTTCTGTCTTCCCCACTCCCTTCTGTCTTCCCCACTCCCTTCTGTCTTCCCCACTCCCTTCTGTCTTCCCCACTCCCTTCTGTCTTCCCCACTCCCTTCTGTCTTCCCCACTCCCTTCTGTCTTCCCCACTCCCTTCTGTCTTCCCCACTCCCTTCTGTCTTCCCCACTCCCTTCTGTCTTCCCCACTCCCTTCTGTCTTCCCCACTCCCTTCTGTCTTCCCCACTCCCTTCTGTCTTCCCCACTCCCTTCTGTCTTCCCCACTCCCTTCTGTCTTCCCCACTCCCTTCTGTCTTCCCCACTCCCTTCTGTCTTCCCCACTCCCTTCTGTCTTCCCCACTCCCTTCTGTCTTCCCCACTCCCTTCTGTCTTCCCCACTCCCTTCTGTCTTCCCCACTCCCTTCTGTCTTCCCCACTCCCTTCTGTCTTCCCCACTCCCTTCTGTCTTCCCCACTCCCTTCTGTCTTCCCCACTCCCTTCTGTCTTCCCCACTCCCTTCTGTCTTCCCCACTCCCTTCTGTCTTCCCCACTCCCTTCTGTCTTCCCCACTCCCTTCTGTCTTCCCCACTCCCTTCTGTCTTCCCCACTCCCTTCTGTCTTCCCCACTCCCTTCTGTCTTCCCCACTCCCTTCTGTCTTCCCCACTCCCTTCTGTCTTCCCCACTCCCTTCTGTCTTCCCCACTCCCTTCTGTCTTCCCCACTCCCTTCTGTCTTCCCCACTCCCTTCTGTCTTCCCCACTCCCTTCTGTCTTCCCCACTCCCTTCTGTCTTCCCCACTCCCTTCTGTCTTCCCCACTCCCTTCTGTCTTCCCCACTCCCTTCTGTCTTCCCCACTCCCTTCTGTCTTCCCCACTCCCTTCTGTCTTCCCCACTCCCTTCTGTCTTCCCCACTCCCTTCTGTCTTCCCCACTCCCTTCTGTCTTCCCCACTCCCTTCTGTCTTCCCCACTCCCTTCTGTCTTCCCCACTCCCTTCTGTCTTCCCCACTCCCTTCTGTCTTCCCCACTCCCTTCTGTCTTCCCCACTCCTCTCTGTCTTCCCCCTCCTTCTCTCTGTCTTCCCCACTCCCTTCTGTCTTCCCCACTCCCTTCTGTCTTCCCCACTCCCTTCTGTCTTCCCCACTCCCTTCTGTCTTCCCCACTCCCTTCTGTCTTCCCCACTCCCTTCTGTCTTCCCCACTCCCTTCTGTCTTCCCCACTCCCTTCTGTCTTCCCCACTCCCTTCTGTCTTCCCCACTCCCTTCTGTCTTCCCCACTCCCTTCTGTCTTCCCCACTCCCTTCTGTCTTCCCCACTCCCTTCTGTCTTCCCCACTCCCTTCTGTCTTCCCACTCCTTCTGTCTTCCCCACTCCCTTCTGTCTTCCCCACTCCCTTCTGTCTTCCCCACTCCCTTCTGTCTTCCCCACTCCCTTCTGTCTTCCCCACTCCCTTCTGTCTTCCCCACTCCCTTCTGTCTTCCCCACTCCCTTCTGTCTTCCCCACTCCCTTCTGTCTTCCCCACTCCCTTCTGTCTTCCCCACTCCCTTCTGTCTTCCCCACTCCCTTCTGTCTTCCCCACTCCCTTCTGTCTTCCCCACTCCCTTCTGTCTTCCCCACTCCCTTCTGTCTTCCCCACTCCCTTCTGTCTTCCCCACTCCCTTCTGTCTTCCCCACTCCCTTCTGTCTTCCCCACTCCCTTCTGTCTTCCCCACTCCCTTCTGTCTTCCCCACCCCCCTCTCTGTCTTCCCACTCCCTCTGTCTTTCCCCACTCCCTTCTGTCTTCCCCACTCCCTTCTGTCTTCCCCACTCCCTTCTGTCTTCCCCACTCCCTTCTGTCTTCCCCACTCCCTTCTGTCTTCCCCACTCCCTTCTGTCTTCCCCACTCCCTTCTGTCTTCCCCACTCCCTTCTGTCTTCCCCACTCCCTTCTGTCTTCCCCACTCCCTTCTGTCTTCCCCACTCCCTTCTGTCTTCCCCACTCCCTTCTGTCTTCCCCACTCCCTTCTGTCTTCCCCACTCCCTTCTGTCTTCCCCACTCCCTTCTGTCTTCCCCACTCCCTTCTGTCTTCCCCACTCCCTTCTGTCTTCCCCACTCCCTTCTGTCTTCCCCACTCCCTTCTGTCTTCCCCACTCCCTTCTGTCTTCCCCACTCCCTTCTGTCTTCCCCACTCCCTTCTGTCTTCCCCACTCCCTTCTGTCTTCCCCACTCCCTTCTGTCTTCCCCACTCCCTTCTGTCTTCCCCACTCCCCTCTCTGTTCCCCACTCCCTTCTGTCTTCCCCACTCCCTTCTGTCTTCCCCACTCCCTTCTGTCTTCCCACTCCCCTCTCTGTCTTCCCCACTCCCTTCTGTCTTCCCCACTCCCTTCTGTCTTCCCCACTCCCTTCTGTCTTCCCCACTCCCTTCTGTCTTCCCCACTCCCTTCTGTCTTCCCCACTCCCTTCTCTGTCTTCCCCCTCCTTCTGTCTTCCCCACTCCCTTCTGTCTTCCCCACTCCCTTCTGTCTTCCCCACTCCCTTCTGTCTTCCCCACTCCCTTCTGTCTTCCCCACTCCCTTCTGTCTTCCCCACTCCCTTCTGTCTTCCCCACTCCCTTCTGTCTTCCCCACTCCCTTCTGTCTTCCCCACTCCCTTCTGTCTTCCCCACTCCCTTCTGTCTTCCCCACTCCCTTCTGTCTTCCCCACTCCCTTCTGTCTTCCCCACTCCCTTCTGTCTTCCCCACTCCCTCTGTCTCCCCACTCCCTTCTGTCTTCCCCACTCCCTTCTGTCTTCCCCACTCCCTTCTGTCTTCCCCACTCCCTTCTGTCTTCCCCACTCCCTTCTGTCTTCCCCACTCCCTTCTGTCTTCCCCACTCCCTTCTGTCTTCCCCACTCCCTTCTGTCTTCCCCACTCCCTTCTGTCTTCCCCACTCCCTTCTGTCTTCCCCACTCCCTTCTGTCTTCCCCACTCCCTTCTGTCTTCCCCACTCCCTTCTGTCTTCCCCACTCCCTTCTGTCTTCCCCACTCCCTTCTGTCTTTCCCCACTCCCCTCTCTGTCTTCCCCACTCCCTTCTGTCTTCCCCACTCTCCCCTCTCTGTCTTCCCCACTCCCTTCTGTCTTCCCCACTCCCTTCTGTCTTCCCCACTCCCTTCTGTCTTTCCCACTCCCCTTCTGTCTTCCCCACTCCCTTCTGTCTTCCCCACTCCTTCTCTGTCTTCCCCACTCCCTTCTGTCTTCCCCACTCCCTTCTGTCTTCCCCACTCCCTTCTGTCTTCCCCACTCCCTTCTGTCTTCCCCACTCCCTTCTGTCTTCCCCACTCCCTTCTGTCTTCCCCACTCCCTTCTGTCTTCCCCACTCCCTTCTGTCTTCCCCACTCCCTTCTGTCTTCCCCACTCCCTTCTGTCTTCCCCACTCCCTTCTGTCTTCCCCACTCCCTTCTGTCTTCCCCACTCCCTTCTGTCTTCCCCACTCCCTTCTGTCTTCCCCACTCCCTTCTGTCTTCCCCACTCCCTTCTGTCTTCCCCACTCCCTTCTGTCTTCCCCACTCCCTTCTGTCTTCCCCACTCCCTTCTGTCTTCCCCACTCCCTTCTGTCTTCCCCACTCCCTTCTGTCTTCCCCACTCCCTTCTGTCTTCCCCACTCCCTTCTGTCTTCCCCACTCCCTTCTGTCTTCCCCACTCCCTTCTGTCTTCCCCACTCCCTTCTGTCTTCCCCACTCCCTTCTGTCTTCCCCACTCCCTTCTGTCTTCCCCACTCCCTTCTGTCTTCCCCACTCCCTTCTGTCTTCCCCACTCCCTTCTGTCTTCCCCACTCCCTTCTGTCTTCCCCACTCCCTTCTGTCTTCCCCACTCCCTTCTGTCTTCCCCCTCCCCACTCCCTTCTGTCTTCCCCACTCCCTTCTGTCTTCCCCACTCCCTTCTGTCTTCCCCACTCCCTTCTGTCTTCCCCACTCCCTTCTGTCTTCCCCACTCCCTTCTGTCTTCCCCACTCCCTTCTGTCTTCCCCACTCCCTTCTGTCTTCCCCACTCCCTTCTGTCTTCCCCACTCCCTTCTGTCTTCCCCACTCCCTTCTGTCTTCCCCACTCCCTTCTGTCTTCCCCACTCCCTTCTGTCTTCCCCACTCCCTTCTGTCTTCCCCACTCCCTTCTGTCTTCCCCACTCCCTTCTGTCTTCCCCACTCCCTTCTGTCTTCCCCACTCCCTTCTGTCTTCCCCACTCCCTTCTGTCTTCCCCACTCCCTTCTGTCTTCCCCACTCCCTTCTGTCTTTCCCCACTCCCCTCTCTGTCTTCCCCACTCCCTTCTGTCTTCCCCACTCCCTTCTGTCTTCCCCACTCCCTTCTGTCTTCCCACTCCCCCTCTCTGTCTTCCCCACTCCCTTCTGTCTTCCCCACTCCCTTCTGTCTTCCCCACTCCCTTCTGTCTTCCCCAACCCCTCTCTGTCTTCCCCACTCCCTTCTGTCTTCCCCACTCCCTTCTGTCTTCCCCACTCCCTTCTGTCTTCCCCACTCCCTTCTGTCTTCCCCACTCCCTTCTGTCTTCCCCACTCCCTTCTGTCTTCCCCACTCCCTTCTGTCTTCCCCACTCCCTTCTGTCTTCCCCACTCCCTTCTGTCTTCCCCACTCCCTTCTGTCTTCCCCACTCCCTTCTGTCTTCCCCACTCCCTTCTGTCTTCCCCACTCCCTTCTGTCTTCCCCACTCCCTTCTGTCTTCCCCACTCCCTTCTGTCTTCCCCACTCCCTTCTGTCTTCCCCACTCCCTTCTGTCTTCCCCACTCCCTTCTGTCTTCCCCACTCCCTTCTGTCTTCCCCACTCCCTTCTGTCTTCCCCACTCCCTTCTGTCTTCCCCACTCCCTTCTGTCTTCCCCACTCCCTTCTGTCTTCCCCACTCCTTCTGTCTTCCCCCACTCCCCTCTCTGTCTTCCCCACTCCCTTCTGTCTTCCCCACTCCCTTCTGTCTTCCCCACTCCCCTCTCTGTCTTCCCACTCCCTTCTGTCTTCCCACTCCCCTCTCTGTCTTCCCCACTCCCTTCTGTCTTCCCCACTCCCTTCTGTCTTCCCCACTCCCTTCTGTCTTCCCCACTCCCTTCTGTCTTCCCCACTCCCTTCTGTCTTCCCCACTCCCTTCTGTCTTCCCCACTCCCTTCTGTCTTCCCCACTCCCTTCTGTCTTCCCCACTCCCTTCTGTCTTCCCCACTCCCTTCTGTCTTCCCCACTCCCTTCTGTCTTCCCCACTCCCTTCTGTCTTCCCCACTCCCTTCTGTCTTCCCCACTCCCTTCTGTCTTCCCCACTCCCTTCTGTCTTCCCCACTCCCTTCTGTCTTCCCCACTCCCTTCTGTCTTCCCCACTCCCTTCTGTCTTCCCCACTCCCTTCTGTCTTCCCCACTCCCTTCTGTCTTCCCCACTCCCTTCTGTCTTCCCCACTCCCTTCTGTCTTCCCCACTCCCTTCTGTCTTCCCCACTCCCTTCTGTCTTCCCCACTCCCTTCTGTCTTCCCCACTCCCTTCTGTCTTCCCCACTCCCTTCTGTCTTCCCCACTCCCTTCTGTCTTCCCCACTCCCTTCTGTCTTCCCCACTCCCTTCTGTCTTCCCCACTCCCTTCTGTCTTCCCCACTCCCTTCTGTCTTCCCCACTCCCTTCTGTCTTCCCCACTCCCTTCTGTCTTCCCCACTCCCTTCTGTCTTCCCCACTCCCTTCTGTCTTCCCCACTCCCTTCTGTCTTCCCCACTCCCTTCTGTCTTCCCCACTCCCTTCTGTCTTCCCCACTCCCTTCTGTCTTCCCCACTCCCTTCTGTCTTCCCCACTCCCTTCTGTCTTCCCCACTCCCTTCTGTCTTCCCCACTCCCTTCTGTCTTCCCCACTCCCTTCTGTCTTCCCCACTCCCTTCTGTCTTCCCCACTCCCTTCTGTCTTCCCCCACTCCCCTCTCTGTCTTCCCCACTCCCTTCTGTCTTCCCCACTCCCTTCTGTCTTCCCCACTCCCTTCTGTCTTCCCCACTCCCTTCTGTCTTCCCCACTCCCTTCTGTCTTCCCCACTCCCTTCTGTCTTCCCCACTCCCTTCTGTCTTCCCCACTCCCTTCTGTCTTCCCCACTCCCTTCTGTCTTCCCCACTCCCTTCTGTCTTCCCCACTCCCTTCTGTCTTCCCCACTCCCTTCTGTCTTCCCCACTCCCTTCTGTCTTCCCCACTCCCTTCTGTCTTCCCCACTCCCTTCTGTCTTCCCCACTCCCTTCTGTCTTCCCACTCCTTCTGTCTTCCCCACTCCCTTCTGTCTTCCCCACTCCCTTCTGTCTTCCCCACTCCCTTCTGTCTTCCCCACTCCCTTCTGTCTTCCCCACTCCCTTCTGTCTTCCCCACTCCCTTCTGTCTTCCCCACTCCCTTCTGTCTTCCCCACTCCCTTCTGTCTTCCCCACTCCCTTCTGTCTTCCCCACTCCCTTCTGTCTTCCCCACTCCCTTCTGTCTTCCCCACTCCCTTCTGTCTTCCCCACTCCCTTCTGTCTTCCCCACTCCCTTCTGTCTTCCCCACTCCCTTCTGTCTTCCCCACTCCCTTCTGTCTTCCCCACTCCCTTCTGTCTTCCCCACTCCCTTCTGTCTTCCCCACTCCCTTCTGTCTTCCCCACTCCCTTCTGTCTTCCCCACTCCCTTCTGTCTTCCCCACTCCCTTCTGTCTTCCCCACTCCCTTCTGTCTTCCCCACTCCCTTCTGTCTTCCCCACTCCCTTCTGTCTTCCCCACTCCCTTCTGTCTTCCCCACTCCCTTCTGTCTTCCCCACTCCCTTCTGTCTTCCCCACTCCCTTCTGTCTTCCCCACTCCCTTCTGTCTTCCCCACTCCCTTCTGTCTTCCCCACTCCCTTCTGTCTTCCCCACTCCCTTCTGTCTTCCCCACTCCCTTCTGTCTTCCCCACTCCCTTCTGTCTTCCCCACTCCCTTCTGTCTTCCCCACTCCCTTCTGTCTTCCCCACTCCCTTCTGTCTTCCCCACTCCCTTCTGTCTTCCCCACTCCCTTCTGTCTTCCCCACTCCCTTCTGTCTTCCCCACTCCCTTCTGTCTTCCCCACTCCCTTCTGTCTTCCCCACTCCCTTCTGTCTTCCCCACTCCCTTCTGTCTTCCCCACTCCCTTCTGTCTTCCCCACTCCCTTCTGTCTTCCCCACTCCCTTCTGTCTTCCCCACTCCCTTCTGTCTTCCCCACTCCCTTCTGTCTTCCCCACTCCCTTCTGTCTTCCCCACTCCCTTCTGTCTTCCCCACTCCCTTCTGTCTTCCCCACTCCCTTCTGTCTTCCCCACTCCCTTCTGTCTTCCCCACTCCCTTCTGTCTTCCCCACTCCCTTCTGTCTTCCCCACTCCCTTCTGTCTTCCCCACTCCCTTCTGTCTTCCCCACTCCCTTCTGTCTTCCCCACTCCCTTCTGTCTTCCCCACTCCCTTCTGTCTTCCCCACTCCCTTCTGTCTTCCCCACTCCCTTCTGTCTTCCCACTCCCCTCTCTGTCTTCCCCACTCCCTTCTGTCTTCCCCACTCCCTTCTGTCTTCCCCACTCCCTTCTGTCTTCCCCACTCCCTTCTGTCTTCCCCACTCCCTTCTGTCTTCCCCACTCCCTTCTGTCTTCCCCACTCCCTTCTGTCTTCCCCACTCCCTTCTGTCTTCCCCACTCCCTTCTGTCTTCCCCACTCCCTTCTGTCTTCCCCACTCCCTTCTGTCTTCCCCACTCCCTTCTGTCTTCCCCACTCCCTTCTGTCTTCCCCACTCCCTTCTGTCTTCCCCACTCCCTTCTGTCTTCCCCACTCCCTTCTGTCTTCCCCACTCCCTTCTGTCTTCCCCACTCCCTTCTGTCTTCCCCACTCCCTTCTGTCTTCCCCACTCCCTTCTGTCTTCCCCACTCCCTTCTGTCTTCCCCACTCCCTTCTGTCTTCCCCACTCCCTTCTGTCTTCCCCACTCCCTTCTGTCTTCCCCACTCCCTTCTGTCTTCCCCACTCCCTTCTGTCTTCCCCACTCCCTTCTGTCTTCCCCACTCCCTTCTGTCTTCCCCACTCCCTTCTGTCTTCCCCACTCCCTTCTGTCTTCCCCACTCCCTTCTGTCTTCCCCACTCCCTTCTGTCTTCCCCACTCCCTTCTGTCTTCCCCACTCCCTTCTGTCTTCCCCACTCCCTTCTGTCTTCCCCACTCCCTTCTGTCTTCCCCACTCCCTTCTGTCTTCCCCACTCCCTTCTGTCTTCCCCACTCCCTTCTGTCTTCCCCACTCCCTTCTGTCTTCCCCACTCCCTTCTGTCTTCCCCACTCCCTTCTGTCTTCCCCACTCCCTTCTGTCTTCCCCACTCCCTTCTGTCTTCCCCACTCCCTTCTGTCTTCCCCACTCCCTTCTGTCTTCCCCACTCCCTTCTGTCTTCCCCACTCCCTTCTGTCTTCCCCACTCCCTTCTGTCTTCCCCACTCCCTTCTGTCTTCCCCACTCCCTTCTGTCTTCCCCACTCCCTTCTGTCTTCCCCACTCCCTTCTGTCTTCCCCACTCCCTTCTGTCTTCCCCACTCCCTTCTGTCTTCCCCACTCCCTTCTGTCTTCCCCACTCCCTTCTGTCTTCCCCACTCCCTTCTGTCTTCCCCACTCCCTTCTGTCTTCCCCACTCCCTTCTGTCTTCCCCACTCCCTTCTGTCTTCCCCACTCCCTTCTGTCTTCCCCACTCCCTTCTGTCTTCCCCACTCCCTTCTGTCTTCCCCACTCCCTTCTGTCTTCCCCACTCCCTTCTGTCTTCCCCACTCCCTTCTGTCTTCCCCACTCCCTTCTGTCTTCCCCACTCCCTTCTGTCTTCCCCACTCCCTTCTGTCTTCCCCACTCCCTTCTGTCTTCCCCACTCCCTTCTGTCTTCCCCACTCCCTTCTGTCTTCCCCACTCCCTTCTGTCTTCCCCACTCCCTTCTGTCTTCCCCACTCCCTTCTGTCTTCCCCACTCCCTTCTGTCTTCCCCACTCCCTTCTGTCTTCCCCACTCCCTTCTGTCTTCCCCACTCCCTTCTGTCTTCCCCACTCCCTTCTGTCTTCCCCACTCCCTTCTGTCTTCCCCACTCCCTTCTGTCTTCCCCACTCCCTTCTGTCTTCCCCACTCCCTTCTGTCTTCCCCACTCCCTTCTGTCTTCCCCACTCCCTTCTGTCTTCCCCACTCCCTTCTGTCTTCCCCACTCCCTTCTGTCTTCCCCACTCCCTTCTGTCTTCCCCACTCCCTTCTGTCTTCCCCACTCCCTTCTGTCTTCCCCACTCCCTTCTGTCTTCCCCACTCCCTTCTGTCTTCCCCACTCCCTTCTGTCTTCCCCACTCCCTTCTGTCTTCCCCACTCCCTTCTGTCTTCCCCACTCCCTTCTGTCTTCCCCACTCCCTTCTGTCTTCCCCACTCCCTTCTGTCTTCCCCACTCCCTTCTGTCTTCCCCACTCCCTTCTGTCTTCCCCACTCCCTTCTGTCTTCCCCACTCCCTTCTGTCTTCCCCACTCCCTTCTGTCTTCCCCACTCCCTTCTGTCTTCCCCACTCCCTTCTGTCTTCCCCACTCCCTTCTGTCTTCCCCACTCCCTTCTGTCTTCCCCACTCCCTTCTGTCTTCCCCACTCCCTTCTGTCTTCCCCACTCCCTTCTGTCTTCCCCACTCCCTTCTGTCTTCCCCACTCCCTTCTGTCTTCCCCACTCCCTTCTGTCTTCCCCACTCCCTTCTGTCTTCCCCACTCCCTTCTGTCTTCCCCACTCCCTTCTGTCTTCCCCACTCCCTTCTGTCTTCCCCACTCCCTTCTGTCTTCCCCACTCCCTTCTGTCTTCCCCACTCCCTTCTGTCTTCCCCACTCCCTTCTGTCTTCCCCACTCCCTTCTGTCTTCCCCACTCCCTTCTGTCTTCCCCACTCCCTTCTGTCTTCCCCACTCCCTTCTGTCTTCCCCACTCCCTTCTGTCTTCCCCACTCCCTTCTGTCTTCCCCACTCCCTTCTGTCTTCCCCACTCCCTTCTGTCTTCCCCACTCCCTTCTGTCTTCCCCACTCCCTTCTGTCTTCCCCACTCCCTTCTGTCTTCCCCACTCCCTTCTGTCTTCCCCACTCCCTTCTGTCTTCCCCACTCCCTTCTGTCTTCCCCACTCCCTTCTGTCTTCCCCACTCCCTTCTGTCTTCCCCACTCCCTTCTGTCTTCCCCACTCCCTTCTGTCTTCCCCACTCCCTTCTGTCTTCCCCACTCCCTTCTGTCTTCCCCACTCCCTTCTGTCTTCCCCACTCCCTTCTGTCTTCCCCACTCCCTTCTGTCTTCCCCACTCCCTTCTGTCTTCCCCACTCCCTTCTGTCTTCCCCACTCCCTTCTGTCTTCCCCACTCCCTTCTGTCTTCCCCACTCCCTTCTGTCTTCCCCACTCCCTTCTGTCTTCCCCACTCCCTTCTGTCTTCCCCACTCCCTTCTGTCTTCCCCACTCCCTTCTGTCTTCCCCACTCCCTTCTGTCTTCCCCACTCCCTTCTGTCTTCCCCACTCCCTTCTGTCTTCCCCACTCCCTTCTGTCTTCCCCACTCCCTTCTGTCTTCCCCACTCCCTTCTGTCTTCCCCACTCCCTTCTGTCTTCCCCACTCCCTTCTGTCTTCCCCACTCCCTTCTGTCTTCCCCACTCCCTTCTGTCTTCCCCACTCCCTTCTGTCTTCCCCACTCCCTTCTGTCTTCCCCACTCCCTTCTGTCTTCCCCACTCCCTTCTGTCTTCCCCACTCCCTTCTGTCTTCCCCACTCCCTTCTGTCTTCCCCACTCCCTTCTGTCTTCCCCACTCCCTTCTGTCTTCCCCACTCCCTTCTGTCTTCCCCACTCCCTTCTGTCTTCCCCACTCCCTTCTGTCTTCCCCACTCCCTTCTGTCTTCCCCACTCCCTTCTGTCTTCCCCACTCCCTTCTGTCTTCCCCACTCCCTTCTGTCTTCCCCACTCCCTTCTGTCTTCCCCACTCCCTTCTGTCTTCCCCACTCCCTTCTGTCTTCCCCACTCCCTTCTGTCTTCCCCACTCCCTTCTGTCTTCCCCACTCCCTTCTGTCTTCCCCACTCCCTTCTGTCTTCCCCACTCCCTTCTGTCTTCCCCACTCCCTTCTGTCTTCCCCACTCCCTTCTGTCTTCCCCACTCCCTTCTGTCTTCCCCACTCCCTTCTGTCTTCCCCACTCCCTTCTGTCTTCCCCACTCCCTTCTGTCTTCCCCACTCCCTTCTGTCTTCCCCACTCCCTTCTGTCTTCCCCACTCCCTTCTGTCTTCCCCACTCCCTTCTGTCTTCCCCACTCCCTTCTGTCTTCCCCACTCCCTTCTGTCTTCCCCACTCCCTTCTGTCTTCCCCACTCCCTTCTGTCTTCCCCACTCCCTTCTGTCTTCCCCACTCCCTTCTGTCTTCCCCACTCCCTTCTGTCTTCCCCACTCCCTTCTGTCTTCCCCACTCCCTTCTGTCTTCCCCACTCCCTTCTGTCTTCCCCACTCCCTTCTGTCTTCCCCACTCCCTTCTGTCTTCCCCACTCCCTTCTGTCTTCCCCACTCCCTTCTGTCTTCCCCACTCCCTTCTGTCTTCCCCACTCCCTTCTGTCTTCCCCACTCCCTTCTGTCTTCCCCACTCCCTTCTGTCTTCCCCACTCCCTTCTGTCTTCCCCACTCCCTTCTGTCTTCCCCACTCCCTTCTGTCTTCCCCACTCCCTTCTGTCTTCCCCACTCCCTTCTGTCTTCCCCACTCCCTTCTGTCTTCCCCACTCCCTTCTGTCTTCCCCACTCCCTTCTGTCTTCCCCACTCCCTTCTGTCTTCCCCACTCCCTTCTGTCTTCCCCACTCCCTTCTGTCTTCCCCACTCCCTTCTGTCTTCCCCACTCCCTTCTGTCTTCCCCACTCCCTTCTGTCTTCCCCACTCCCTTCTGTCTTCCCCACTCCCTTCTGTCTTCCCCACTCCCTTCTGTCTTCCCCACTCCCTTCTGTCTTCCCCACTCCCTTCTGTCTTCCCCACTCCCTTCTGTCTTCCCCACTCCCTTCTGTCTTCCCCACTCCCTTCTGTCTTCCCCACTCCCTTCTGTCTTCCCCACTCCCTTCTGTCTTCCCCACTCCCTTCTGTCTTCCCCACTCCCTTCTGTCTTCCCCACTCCCTTCTGTCTTCCCCACTCCCTTCTGTCTTCCCCACTCCCTTCTGTCTTCCCCACTCCCTTCTGTCTTCCCCACTCCCTTCTGTCTTCCCCACTCCCTTCTGTCTTCCCCACTCCCTTCTGTCTTCCCCACTCCCTTCTGTCTTCCCCACTCCCTTCTGTCTTCCCCACTCCCTTCTGTCTTCCCCACTCCCTTCTGTCTTCCCCACTCCCTTCTGTCTTCCCCACTCCCTTCTGTCTTCCCCACTCCCTTCTGTCTTCCCCACTCCCTTCTGTCTTCCCCACTCCCTTCTGTCTTCCCCACTCCCTTCTGTCTTCCCCACTCCCTTCTGTCTTCCCCACTCCCTTCTGTCTTCCCCACTCCCTTCTGTCTTCCCCACTCCCTTCTGTCTTCCCCACTCCCTTCTGTCTTCCCCACTCCCTTCTGTCTTCCCCACTCCCTTCTGTCTTCCCCACTCCCTTCTGTCTTCCCCACTCCCTTCTGTCTTCCCCACTCCCTTCTGTCTTCCCCACTCCCTTCTGTCTTCCCCACTCCCTTCTGTCTTCCCCACTCCCTTCTGTCTTCCCCACTCCCTTCTGTCTTCCCCACTCCCTTCTGTCTTCCCCACTCCCTTCTGTCTTCCCCACTCCCTTCTGTCTTCCCCACTCCCTTCTGTCTTCCCCACTCCCTTCTGTCTTCCCCACTCCCTTCTGTCTTCCCCACTCCCTTCTGTCTTCCCCACTCCCTTCTGTCTTCCCCACTCCCTTCTGTCTTCCCCACTCCCTTCTGTCTTCCCCACTCCCTTCTGTCTTCCCCACTCCCTTCTGTCTTCCCCACTCCCTTCTGTCTTCCCCACTCCCTTCTGTCTTCCCCACTCCCTTCTGTCTTCCCCACTCCCTTCTGTCTTCCCCACTCCCTTCTGTCTTCCCCACTCCCTTCTGTCTTCCCCACTCCCTTCTGTCTTCCCCACTCCCTTCTGTCTTCCCCACTCCCTTCTGTCTTCCCCACTCCCTTCTGTCTTCCCCACTCCCTTCTGTCTTCCCCACTCCCTTCTGTCTTCCCCACTCCCTTCTGTCTTCCCCACTCCCTTCTGTCTTCCCCACTCCCTTCTGTCTTCCCCACTCCCTTCTGTCTTCCCCACTCCCTTCTGTCTTCCCCACTCCCTTCTGTCTTCCCCACTCCCTTCTGTCTTCCCCACTCCCTTCTGTCTTCCCCACTCCCTTCTGTCTTCCCCACTCCCTTCTGTCTTCCCCACTCCCTTCTGTCTTCCCCACTCCCTTCTGTCTTCCCCACTCCCTTCTGTCTTCCCCACTCCCTTCTGTCTTCCCCACTCCCTTCTGTCTTCCCCACTCCCTTCTGTCTTCCCCACTCCCTTCTGTCTTCCCCACTCCCTTCTGTCTTCCCCACTCCCTTCTGTCTTCCCCACTCCCTTCTGTCTTCCCCACTCCCTTCTGTCTTCCCCACTCCCTTCTGTCTTCCCCACTCCCCTCTGTCTCCCCCGCTTCCCTCTCTGTCTTTCCCGCTTCCCTCTCTGTCTTCCCCACTCCCTTCTGTCTTCCCCACTCCCTTCTGTCTTCCCCACTCCCTTCTGTCTTCCCCACTCCCTTCTGTCTTCCCCACTCCCTTCTGTCTTCCCCACTCCCTTCTGTCTTCCCCACTCCCTTCTGTCTTCCCCACTCCCTTCTGTCTTCCCCACTCCCTTCTGTCTTCCCCACTCCCTTCTGTCTTCCCCACTCCCTTCTGTCTTCCCCACTCCCTTCTGTCTTCCCCACTCCCTTCTGTCTTCCCCACTCCCTTCTGTCTTCCCCACTCCCCTCTGTCTTCCCCACTCCCCTCTGTCTCCCCCGCTTCCCTCTCTGTCTTTCCCGCTTCCTCTCTGTCTCCCCCGCTTCCCCTTCTGCCCCTTGTCCGCGCCCTCGTACCAACAGCGTGTGTTCAACAATACAGACGAGCTAGTGGCCAAGGCTATGAGAGAGATCGAGGCGCCTGATAACCCCTTTGTCCCCGCTTTCTCTTCTGTCTCCCTCCATTTCCTTCCATCCCCACCCGCTTCCTTGTACCAACAGCGTGTGTTCAACAGTACAGACGAGCCAGTGGCCGAGGCTATCGAGGGGATAGAGCAGGACTTTGCATGGGCGGGAGTGGCGGATTTCAAGCGAGCAGCAGCTGAAATTGAAGAGTACAACGCGAGTGGGAGGTACCCCGTCACCCTGCTGGTCAGCACCGAGGGTGATGAGGCAGAAGAGGGGATTGGAGGAGGCGAGGCGAGTTGCGTTGGTGAAGGAACGGCAGGAGGAGGGGAGCGGGCGGAAGCAGGAGGAGCAGGAGGAGGAGGAGGAGGAGTGGCAGGGGGGGCAGCAGCAGGTGGTGGGAAAGGGGCAGGGGGTGGGGAGGAAGTGGGCGGGGTGAGGAATGTAGCGAAGATTGGGACTGTGGTGAGTTACCTGGTGGATATTCTGAAGGTGCTCATTGCTGCTGCGCCCAAGGCAGAGGCGGTGGAGGGGCGGAAGAAGAGGAGGGCAGAGGAGAGTGTGGAAGGGGCGGGTGTGGGGGGGATTGTGGGTGGTGGGGGGAGGGGAGGGAGATGGGGAGGGAGAGGGGCAGAGGGAGGAGCAGGTGGAAGGGGAGGGGCAGGGGCAGGGGGAGGGGTGGGGGGAAGGGTGGGGGATGATAGTGCGAGCAGGGGTGGGAGGAATCAGAGCAGCACAGTGGAGTGGAGAGGGGTGGAGAATGGTTATGGGGGAGGTAGAGGCGAGGGGAGCACTGCTGGCAACGGCGGCGGTAGGGGCAGCGGCAGAGCTGGACGGCGAGGGCGGGGATAATACACTACACAGAAGAAAAAAGAACTTGATTTTTAATTTGAGTGTAGAGACTGCACGGTAAGGGTATCAGATAATTTCCAGCCTATGGGATGTGTGTAACTGTTGAAATTAGAGGTCGGCTAAATTGGTATGAGCTGGGAACAGGTTTCTGACATCATAGAGAATTTGTGTGAACATGTATCCAGATCTAAGTGATTTTGTGTAAGCATCCTCGTTTTTCTAGCAAGAACGTACAACACTTTTGTAAAGGAGATGGAACATACGGAACGATATTCACAAGGAGAATACCGAATCAATGTAACTAATTCGTTTTCTTCGATTCCCGCCAGAACTTGTCGCACGCCCTGCAGTTTTAGAATTTGAATTTCCGAGCTAACCGCCAGCTGATCAACGTCCCTCAACCAATCACCATACCACCGCAACACTAGACTACTAGTCTCCTTCCTTGTTCATGGCTCCTAATTCCAAGACCACCAAGGTGGCACGCGAACACTGTAACGGGCATTCTCCGCTTTCCATGGCTTCGTTTGCGGGCGCGACTGCACCTGCGAGGGATAGCATTGGCCCCGATACTGTTAGACTTGCTAACGAGATAGTTGCGCCATTGTGTGTTCCGGGATGTGTAAGAACCAATGAGTTCGGGATTGAACAGGAGGCGTTGGGAACGAAAGTCGAACTGACGGAGAGAGTAAACGGCTTTCAGGGTTCCCAACTTGACGGAGAGCCAGACGGAATCCGTTCCTATTCCGTCGGATCCGACGGGATACGTTCTTTTCCTGACGGAGGTCCCGGAGCGTCGGAAGCCAACAGAGGACGGGTGCAAGGCGGGAAAGAGAAATCGCATCATGTGGGGAGGGAGGACAGGGGTAGAAGAGGGAGGGGGGACAGGGGTAGAAGAGGGAGGGGGGACAGGGGTAGAAGAGGGAGGGGGGACAGGGGTAGAAGAGGGAGGGGGGACAGGGGTAGAAGAGGGAGGGGGGACAGGGGTAGAAGAGGGAGGGGGGACAGGGGTAGAAGAGGGAGGGGGGACAGGGTTAGAAGAGGGAGGGGGGACAGGGGTAGAAGAGGGAGGGGGGACAGGGGTAGAAGAGGGAGGGAGGAGGTACCCAGTACCGTCGAGGCCGGCGTGTTGGAGAGGATTCGACGCGTGAGTGGACTCAGACATGACGAGAAGGAGGAGAGAGGTCATACCGCTGACGGCTGTGCTGGCGAGTTGGAGAGGTTACGGCGGCGGCTAAAGGAATGGGAGCGACGATTTGCCGCGTCGCACGGCCGTGCGCCGTCCCGTGCTGACGTGGAGGCCGATCCGACTGTAGGTGAGCTGATTCTTACAGTGCAGGTCAGGGATGGGGTTATGCAGTGCTTTGGCTAAGAGCACTGCGTGTGACATTTGGTAATTGCAGTGCGCGGAAACTATCATGGTGCTGATTAAAAATGAATTTCTTCTTTTATCGTGTTTTTTTTTCCCTGCCGCAGCTGAGCAGTATGAAAAATACGCTCGGCTTAAGGAGCGGGAGAGGAGAAAACGGAAGAGGCCTCAAGAAGGTGCTACTACCATCGAAGCTGCTACTAACGAGGGCGGCACTAACGTAGGGCCTTCTGCACAAGCTGAGAAGGGATCAGATGTTAAAACAGGCAGCAGAGAGCATATTACCGCGGACAAGAGTAGAAAGGGAGATCAGAAGCAGGCAAAAAGAGAAAAGCCTCGCCAAGATAGTAGAGGGGCCCGTGAGAGGGATGGTGGGGGCCTGGGTAGAGCGGATAGAGCCTTCCTGGGTTCCAGGTCGTATCTGCGCAGGCAGCAGCAGCAGCAACAGATAGAGCCGGCAGCTGTGTGGCAGAGCAGCAGACCGTTCAGCCTTGTTGTGTGTGCAGGGGGGGAAGGGGGAGCGGGAGGCGGAGGCGGAGGGGGAGGGGGAGGGGGAGGGGGAGAGGGAGAGGAAGGAATGGGGGGAGAGGAAAGAACAAGGGGAGGGGAAGGCGAGGGAGACGATTTGGCAGGTGAGGGAGCAGGAAAGGAGATGTTTCATGGGATTGCGGTGCCTGTTCGTCCTGTAGGCATGCTTGGCTGTATCGCACCCTCGAGTCTGCTTGTAACGAGGATAGATAGATGGGCAGGGAGGTGGGGCGTTGAATGCAGAGCTGCTGAGCTGGCAGGTGGAGATATGCTGCAAGAGGTGGCGGACGTGGGACCTACAGAAGCTGACGTGGCGCGACAAGAGGCTAATGTGGCACGGAGAGAAGCTGACGCGTTACAGGGACGAGCAGATGTGGGTCCGGCACGATGCGTGGTTGTAGAAGCCGCAGAAACAGCAGTGGCAGCAGAAACAAGGGTAGCAGCAGAAACACCACCAACAGCAGTGCCTCCAGCAGCAGAAGCTGCTGCTGATGGGAAGGTGCACTTCCCAGCACCACCATCAGAAGCAGCAGGGTCAGCAGCAGTCGCAGCAGCAGGAGCAGCAACGCCGGTGCCACCACGACTGCCAGCATCAGCAGCACCATCAGAACCATCAGCATCAGCGGCACCACTATTAGCAAGAGAAGCATCAGGGGCGGCAGCAGCACCAGCAGCACCGTCACCATCAGCAGCACCATCAGCAGCAGCAGCAGCAGCAGCAGGTGGAGCAACAGAACTATCTGATCTGAGCCGTATGACAGTGGTGCAGTTGAGATCTGCCCTGCTGGCCAATGGGCTGCCGACATCTGGCAGAAAGGCAGAGCTTGTGAGCCGGCTGGCAGAGGCTGGGGAGCATGTGGGTGGGGCGAGACGTGGGGTAGGCGAAAGAAGGCGGGATGAGGGGGTTGAGAGTGAGCGGGATGAGGTTAGAGGACAGGAGGGTAGGGTGATTCGGAGTAGAGGAAGGAAGGTTCGGGGAAGCAAGGGTAGGGAAGGGGGACAAGGAGGGACGCAGGTGGTGAAGGTGAAGGGACGGAAGCGAGTGAGAGCAGAGGAGGGCGATGGTGAAGAGGCTGGGGACGCAGGGGAAATGAGGGAGGAGCAAGGTGACGAGGGCAAGGGGGGTGCAGGGGAGAGGTTGGGTGGGAGAAGAGTCACCCGTCTGGCTGCTCGGAAGGCTAAGGAGGATGGGTTGGAGGGAAAGGAGCAAGGGGATGAGGGGAGGGAGTGGGGGAGTGGTAGTAAGAGGGGTAAGGGGAGTGGTGCTGGGAGTGAGGATGGGAGTGAGGAGGAGAGTGAGAGTGAGAGTGGGAGCGGGAGTGGGAGTGACAGTGGTTCTGACTGGGGGAAGGAGAGGGGGGAGGTCAGCAACAGCAGTGAGAGTGAGGAGGAGGAGATGGGGGGGGAGGAGGAGGTGGGAGAGAAGCAGGAGATGAGCGAGGCAGATACAGCAGATAGAGTCACAGCTCGTACAGTCACAGCTGGTACAGTCACGCGTGAGGGTGAGAGAGGAACGGGTAAGCCTGCCCGCAGAAATGCACGCGGCAAGACCAAGGGAGAAGCTTTCATGAGAAGAGCAGGGAAGGTGCGAGTAAGAAAGGATAGGAAGCAAGAGAAGAAATCGAGTGATGCTGCTCATACAGCTGGTGATGCTGGTGCTGGTGACGCCACTACCCCTGCTACTCCTGCCACTCCTGCCACTCCTGCTACTCCTGCCACTCCTGCCACTCCTGCCACTCCTGCCACTCCTGCCACTCCTGCCACTCCTGCCACTCCTGCCACTCCTGCCACTCCTGCCACTCCTGCCACTCCTGCCACTCCTGCCACTCCTGCCACTCCTGCTGCTGGCACGGGTGGTGCCGGCAGTGCAGCAGTGGAGTATGGATGGGGCAACCCCTTAGCCCTGCAGGCCCTGCGACAGAAGGAGGCTGAGAGAAGAAGGCAGAGGAGAAGGGTGGCTGCTGCTAGTGGCGCAGGTAACACTGGTGGTGGTGGGCGGGTAGGTTATGGTCTTACCAGCAGCAGGAATGCTAAGGGGCGGCCTGGGTTGCAAGGGAGAGATAATTTTGTTCGCCTGAATATCAATGGCAGGGGAAGTAAGAAGAAGTTTGGGAATGGTACCAAGACGAGCAGGTTCGGGAGTCGGAATGGTGGTGGAAGTAGGTTTGGGAGGTTCGGTGGTGGGTATGGAGGGGGGAAGAGGTTTTACAGGAAGAGGGGGAAGGGAGGGAAGGGAGGGGGAGCGGGGGAAGGGGGAGAGTGTGGGATGGGCTTGGATGGGTGGATGGATGATGGTGTCATGATGGGGTTGGGAGAGAAAGGAGAGGATGGAAAGGCTGAAGAGGCAAGGGAGAATTTGAGGAGGGTGGAGATGAGGAGAGGGATGGGACGGGAGGATGGAGGCAGGGGGTTTGACGGGCAAGCGGAGGGAGAGGAGAGAGAGGAGGGGGAGGAGGGGGAGGAGGGGGAGGAGGGGGAGGAGGGGGAGGAGGGGGAGGAGGAAGAGGAGGTGGAAGAGGTGGAGGAGGTGGAAGGGGGGGATGATGAGGGCAAGGAGGGGAAATCCAGAGAGGGCAGAAGACCAGTACAGAAGAAGCAGAAAGTCAAGGACAGAGGAGGGGAAGAAGAGGAGGAGATGAGTGAGGGAGCAGAGAGAAGTCGGATGATGGAGGCTGCTCGACAGGATCCTTCGCAGGGCAATCTGTTGAGGGTGCTGCGGCGAGTGTTTGGCTTCGATCGGTTCCGAGATGGACAGGTGGCAGCGATCCAACGGGTGCTGTGTGGCCAATCAACGCTCCTCGTTCTGCCAACTGGCGCTGGGAAGTCGCTCTGCTACCAGGTGAGCTTTCACGTTACCAGGTAACCATCACTGCTGCCAGGAAGCAGTCACTGTTACGAAAATGCCTGCCTCTTGCTATGAGCAGACTTATTTTGTTTCCAAACTCGTGGCATGCAAGTGGTGCTAATGCAAGAGACATCCCCAACCTCACGCTAGTAGTCAGCCCGCTAGTGGCGCTCATGCAATTCCAGCTCACGAATCTGCCGCCCTGCCTAAAACTACCTTCCACACCCACTCACTCAACTCCGCCCCTCCCCCTTTCCCTCTCCAATCCCAACTTCCCTCGTGACAGCTTCCAGCTTTCCTCCTTCCCAGCCACACCCTGGTGGTCAGCCCTCTGGTAGCCCTCATGCAAGACCAGCTCGCCCACCTGCCCTGCTTGTGCTCCCTCTTCACCCACTCAACCCCCCCATACACCCAACACCCCCACCTACCTCGCAGCTCCCTGCGTTTCTTCTCCCTGGGCTCACTCTGGGTGTCCGCCCACTGGTTGCACTAATGCAAGACCAGCTCGCCCACCTGCTGCTCTGCCTTTTACTACATTCCACACCCACTCACTCAACTCCGCTCCTCCCCTTTCCCTCCCCATACCCTACTTCCCTCCTAACAGCTCCCTGCCTTCCTTCTCCCCGGCCTCACTCTGGTGGTCAGCCCGCTAGTGGCCCTTATGCAGGACCAGCTCGCGCACCTGCCGCCCTGCCTGCCCGGAGCCCTTCTCTCGTCCTTCCAGGTGTGTGCCTGCCCACTGCCCACCTGCCTTCCCTGTCTTGAGTTATACAGACAGCCTCTCCTTGTTGCACTCCTCACCCTCGTTTCTGTCACCTAAGCGCCTGGTCACACCACACCATCCCTCCTGCATCTGCTGTCCTGCCACATTTCCATCCCCCTCATCTCTCTCTCACCTCCCTGCCTCGCAGTCACCCAGTGAGAGTGGGGCAGTAATAGAGCAGCTCAGAGGTGGGGGCCTGAAGGTGCTGTTTGTGTCGTCTGAACGCCTACCTGCATCATCCCTCCTGAATGCATGTGCTGTCCTGCCCCCACCACCCATCCCCCTTTCCTAACAGTCACCCATTGAGAGCAGCGCAGCGCAGTGATAGAGAGGCTGAGAGCCGGGGAGCTGAAGGTGCTGTTTGTGTCGCCTGAGCGCCTGGCAGCCCCCTCCTTCCTCCGCCTGCTCCCCCACCCCCCTCATCTCCTCCCTGTCACCCCCTCCCTAACAGTCACCCAGTGAGAGCGGAGCAGTGACTGAAAGGCTCAGAGGAGGGGAACTGAAGGTGCTGTTTGTGTCGCCTGAGCGCCTGGCTGCTCCTTCCTTCCTCCGCCTGCTTTCCAGCCTGCCCCAGGGCGTGTCCCTCGTGGTGTTCGATGAGGCGCACTGCATTTCAGTGTGGTGAGAATGGGTGCATGTGAGTGCGTGCAGGCGGGCTGAGTAGTGATCATGTTTTAAGAATTTTCAAAAGCCAGTCTCTACCTCTTAATCACAGATTTCTTTGACAAGACCCACTGCATTCCAGAGTGGGAAGGAGGGGGTAATGGGAACATACATTGTGTCGTGCGCTGATAGGTTGGGGGATATCTGTAACGAGCTGTCTTTTCAGGGTCTTTGGTGGCCGTCCTCTCCTTTGTCTCTTCACCACTCACCACCCCTCTTCACCTCTCTTCACCTCTCTTCACCCCGCTTGACGTCTCTCCAACTCTTAATGAACGCTGCCAATCCCACGCTTCTCTGACCCTCTCCAACCCTCTCCGTCATGCATGGCAGGTCACATAACTTCCGCTCGGCCTATCTGCGCCTCTCCTCCATCCTGCTCTCCAGCGGTCTCTTAGACATACAGGCTGCAGCAGCTGAAGCGAGGGAGGCAGCAGCAGCATCAGCATCAGCTGAAGAGCCATCAGACCCCAAGGCTTCTGCTGCTGATCCCTCTTCTGCTGCTGCTGCTGCTGCTGCTACTTCTGCTGCTGCTGCTTCTGATGCTGAGGGTACCAATGATTGTCTAGCTGGTGGCGACAACACTAACAGCAGCAACATTCCCCGCAGGCCGTGCATTCTCGCCATCACAGCCACTGCCACGCGCCTTGCCACGTCATCGCTCATCGCAGCGCTGGGTATCCCGCCGGGCGGCGTGATTCGTCGCGGAGTGGTGCGGCCAAACCTGCACCTCTCAGCCTCAATAACCGGGGCCAATGGGCATGCACCTGGGACTGCATCAGTGCCTGGAGCTGGGGCGTTGGCTGCAGGGGGAGAGAGCACGTGGGGGGGCGGGGCAGCAGCAGCAGGGCAGAGCAGGCAGCGGGCGCTGGTGGATCTGCTAATGGCTCCTCCCTTTGCTTCTGCCCGCAGCATCATTGTCTACTGCTCCTTCCAGGTGGGTGCTCCTTCCAGGTGGGTGCTCCTTCCAGGTGGGTGCTCCTTCCAGTAAATCTGCTGACGGCTCCTCTCTCTTTGCTTCCACTCGCAGCATCATCGTGTGCTGCTCCTTCCAGGTGGGCAGAACGCCTGTGATGTGAGGTCTCAAAAGTGACCCAAATTCAACAAATCCCACAACTTTCTCTCTGTTTCATTGCTGTCTCTCTGTTCACACATGTGATCCCCTCCTCTTCCCACTCTCCCTCTTCTTCGCCCTGCCAGCGGGATGCTTTGAAATGTCGAGAAACGTTAAATCTTCTGCCTATTGTCATCTCCCTGCGTCTGAGGTTCCCCTTCTTTTTTTTGAGAATTCTCAAAAAACTGCCTCTGGGGTTCCCCTTCTCTCTCCTCCTCTCTCTCCCCTTCTCCCTCCTATTCTCCCTCCCCCTCTCATTCTCCCTCTCCCTCCCCCGCCCCTCCCCCGCCCCTCCCCCCGTCCCTCCCCCTCTCCCGCGCCCTCTCCTGTTGCCAGTGGGAGGCTGATGATGTGGCACGTGTGCTTCGAGACAACCGAATAGCAGCTCGGGTGAGTGAGTTCAGAGTCCTTATCATCCCTCTGTGCTATTTTTCCCTTTGTTCTTCAGGGCACGTGTTGTTTAACTTGGTCTTTCATTTCCCATCTTGCTCGTACCGGCTTCAATTCCCTTGCTCCGCTGCTCACATCACATCACTTTGCTCCTATCCCTTGTGTGTGGTCTCTTCTCTTCCCTTCTCTTTCTCCTCCATTTCCCGCTCACCCTCCCACCTACCTCCAGAGCTATCACGGTGGGCTGCAAGCGGGGGAGAGGACGCGCATTCTGCAGCGCTTCACAGCCAACAAGCTACGAGTGGTGCGTGCGCTGCTGTCTGTGCTCCTCTCCATGTGCTGACTGCCTGTGCTGCCTGCCTGTGCTGCTGGTGCGATCTGGTGGCACGGTGTAGTGTGCCGCAGGTTATGGTGACACTCGAGTGGAATTAAATTCCATTCGGCTATTTGATCATCACTTGCATCACTTGTGTAACCACTTGCCTATCATTTCCCATTGTGTCCAGTCCACCCACTTCTCTCTGACTGCCTCTCTGCAGGTTGTGGCAACGCTGGCGTTTGGCATGGGCTTGGACAAGGCTGATGTTGGTGCGGTGAGTGGCATCTGGATGGGATGGGAGTATGTGCATGGGTTTATGAATGTGGGTTTATGAATGTGGGTTTATGAATGTGGGTTTATGAATGTGGGTTTATGAATGTGGGTTTATGTATGTGGGTTTATGAATGTGGGTTTATGAATGTGGGTTTATGAATGTGGGTTTATGAATGTGGGTTTATGAATGTGGGTTTATGTATGTGGGTTTATGTATGTGGGTTTATGAATGTGGGTTTATGAATGCGGGTTTATGAGTGTGGGTTTATGAATGTGGGTTTATGAATGTGGGTTTATGAATGTGGGTTTATGTATGTGGGTTCATGAATGTGGGTTTATGTATGTGGGTTTATGAATGTGGGTTTATGTATGTGGGTTTATGAATGTGGGTTTATGAATGTGGGTTTATGTATGTGGGTTTATGAATGTGGGTGTAGTTGTCGCTACACTGGCATGGCGTTTGACATGGGCTTGGACAAAACTGATGTTGGTGCGGTGAGTGGCATATGGATTGGGTTGTGTGGATGAGAGGTGATGAGTATCAAGTTGTCTGGTCTGGAATAGGCGCTGTGAAAGGGAAATGGGAAGTTTCTGATATCACTCGAGTCGGTTCGATGATCTACTGCAGTGCTGATGCCACGCAATACTCACTCTGTTATGAGAAGTCTAAGGACACACACACACTTCTTATCACATGACTCGCCCCGAAGATCAACTGTTGTGCATCTCTTGCCCATCTCTCAGTATCATCATGAGGCGTGCATCTCTTGCTCATCATGTGGCCTTCTTATCATCATGTCACGTGCAGCATGTGTGGCTTTTGCAAAGGCCACATAAGACGGATGTGCTGCATACTCCCTTTTGCATCTCACAATGGGGCAACTTTAAAGCTTTTACTGCTGCCCTTCCATCCGATTCCCCCAAACAGGTTGTGCACTACTCGCTTCCTCGCAGCCCCGAGCAATATGTGCAGGTACGGTATGATGCGGTGTCATGCAGTGGGATGGTATGGTGTGGTGTGATGCGGTGTGATGCGGTGTGGAGTGGTGTGATGCAGTAAAGGCATACGACACCACGCCTCATGACATTGCAGACAGCAGTGTTGTCAGAAAGGTTGGGCATGGATTGTAATAGGTAAAAGCCATGGCTGAGGCAGGGGAGATGGTTTTTGAGAATTCTCAAGAACAAGCTTGTAAAAGGTAAAAGCCATGGCTGAGGCAGGGGAGATCGGAGAATAGGGATGAGAATCCGGCGCCCCTATTAGGTAAAAGCCCTCTTTCGTCTCCTTTCGTTTCTCCCTTCCTCTCTCCCCTCTCTCCCCTCTCTCCCCTCTTCTCTCCCATCTTCTCTCCCATCTTTTCTCCCGCTCAGGAGATGGGTCGCAAAGGACGCAATGGGCACCCCGCCTTCTGGCATCTCCTTCTGGCATCTCCTTCTGGACCACCTCTGCTACCTCCTCTCCCCACTTCTCTTCCGTCCCCTCTCCATCCCTGTTCCCCCCCCCTCGTCTTTCCCCCTCCTCTCTCCCCTTGGCACTCCCCGCCATCCTCACAGGAGATCGGCCGTGCAGGGCGCAACGGTCAACCCGCCTTCTGCCATCTCTTTGTGGACCGCCCCTGCTACCTTCGCCTGCGCAGCCTTGCACACTCGTTAGTGCCAGACTCGTTTGTAGCACACTCGTTTGTCGCACAATTGCTCGTAGCACACTCGTTATCAGCACACTCGTTCCCAATGCACTCTTCACTTGTTCCCTCGTTACTTGCACACCTTATCACATGCACAATCATTAGCAGCATACTTCCGTAAAGAAGGGGAGTGTGCTCATGAGTGTCCTTGTATTACGCATTATGCACAGTAGTGCTCACCAAGTGCTTGGCTCGCTTGTAGCACTTTTCGTCAATGGCAATTGACGCTATTCCTCAACATTCATTAGCATCACTTCTGTCATTGTGGTGTGCACGTCTCTTAACCTCTCCAAACCACACTGCCCTTCCCACAAATTCCTTCGCCGTCAACTTGCCAAACCAAATTGCCTGTGCCACCACCCCATTTCACCCCATATTCCTCCCAACTCAAGGGACGGAGTATCGGAAAGCACTGTAGCTGCCTTCCTTTCTCTCGTCTTTGGCGACTATCAACTGCCAGCAGCACCTGAAGAATCACCTGAAGAAGCAGCAGTGCAGATTCCTGTGTTCCGGACCATTCCCAAGGAAAAGACGGCCCAGTCCCTTGACATACGGCCAGAGGTGAGGGGAAGAAGAAGGGAGAGATGGGAGATAGAGAGTGTATACAGAGATGGGAGATAGAGAGTGTATACAGAGATGGGAGATAGAGAGTGTATACAGAGATGGGAGATAGAGAGTGTATACAGAGATGGGAGATAGGCGCAGAGATCATGCAGCTTCAGCTGTTAGGCTGTTAGACTGTTGGACTGTTGGACTGTTACAATGTTAGAGTCATCTCTGGCTGTGAAATCGTTGCCCTCTTTCTTGCTTGTCCCCCTTCCCATCAGGTCATGGAAACCATTCTCGTGTTCTGTGAGTCTTCCGCACCACCTTCAGGGGCAGCTGAACATATATCCCCCCCTGTAAACCCACTGCCCTCTCGTGCTTCTCCCTTTCCCCCTCCTCTTCTTCCCCCATCAGGTCATGGAAACTATTCTCGTGTTCTGCGAATCACCAGCACCACCACCAGCATCTCTTTCTGTGAATTCGCTTGCCCCATCCGCAACACCATCGGCATCATCGTTACCCCCAGAACCACCATCATCGTCATCGTTACCCCCACAACCACCACCATCATCGTCACTACCTCTCACGTCACCCACTCCCCCGGGGTCCGCGGCTTACCTGCGAATGATGCCTGAAGCGCCTGCTTCCTGCCTCCTCTCCTTCCACAAGGTAAGGATGCTAGTTTTAAGACATCTCGACTCAAACATATGCCTCTTTCTCCTGCCTCGTCTCCTTCCACAAGGTAAAGATGCTAGTCTTAACACAACCTCGACTCGAACATATGCCTCTTTCTCCTGCCTCTTCTCCTTCTGTAAGGAGCTTCTTGCAACTCCTTGTTTTGCGCAGCTCTTGCCGTGTGTTGTCCCATGCTCAATGCTCCATATCCATTGTGCAGCAATGCCCAATGCCCAGTAGCTTGTGACTGGTGCCTTGAGGTGGGTTCTCATGTCATCCCCATGCCCATGACCAGTGCCCCATGCTCTCAATGCCCAACGCCATGTTCCTGTTTACTTGTGACTTTGAGCAAAAGTTCCCATCCCATCATCATGCACATGCCCTGTGCCCCATGCTCTGCTCATTCCCAACCCCATGCTCCCATTCACTTGTGTCTCATTCCCACTCCCCTCCTGTTTCCACGGCAGACCCCAGTGGAGGTTCTTTCCAGGAACGTTCCCCTTGTGAAGGCTATTCTTGCGTGAGTCAGCTCGCATTGCCCCTTTGTTTGCCTCCGCACTGTGCATGCTGTGGCTTGCCTCCGCACTGTGCATGCTGTGGCTTGCCTCCGCACTGTGCATGCTGTGACTTGCCTCCGCTGCTGGTTGGGACACAGTGCTGCCATGCCATCCCGATCTTCATGCCACACGAGATGAGTTTTGAGTCGACTCAACGCTGAGCTGTCACACTGTGCTGTCATTCATTCATGCCACACGTTCCACACGTCTCGACGCAAAACTCACAGTGCTGTCAGGCAGCTGTTCATGCCCAATGCCGTTGAATAAAACAGCTGGCCGGACACAACGCTGGCAGCTACGCGATGGATGAGTGTCTTTTAAGTCTCAAAAACAATGCTGCCAGCTGTTCATGCCATAAGATCCAGCTGGAACTGCTGTTGAGGCGCCTCTAAAGTGGAACTGCTGCCCAATGCCGTTGCCCACGCCTCTCCA